TGTAAATTACTCTGTTTCTACACTCGGTTGATGAGATATGTCGTGTGTTTGTTCGTCATCTATATTCTACGATACAATGACATGGCCGTGTTGCCGTTCAGATTTGAGAATATAGCTAATAGAAGGGAGTCAGCAAATGAACTCTGCAACGACTTTCCAGCCTAGGGCGTCAACCTGAGAAGGGTTGTAGGCGTACTGCTGTAAGTCCTACAGTTCTTCAAGGGTAGCTTTTCATGCCGGAATCCACAACATTTGATGTAGTGACTGTACATATGTTTGTGTTAAATAGTTGTGTGAGTTCCAATTATCGTAATTGTTGGTTAATCTTGTTTGTCTCCGGACATTCCACAAATTACAATCGTCAACCTGAGAAGGGTTGTAGGCGTACTGGTGTAAGTCCTGCGATTCTTCAAAGGAATTCCATCAAGATGTGATCTGCGAGTTTGTGTGTACAGTTCGTATATATGTGTGGTGTGTCATATCAATTGGTGTTTTTGGATTCATTGCGTTTACTCGTTGTTTTCGTACCTTGTTTTTACTGCATAATTTTGTTAAAATTTTCGTCGTGATTACTTCTGAAGTTGTTTCCAGTCTTCTACATCCGTGAATGAATTGATTGATGTTAAGGACAGCAGATGGGGCGTATACGCCGGGGAGGCTAGGCTATTGCTGAGAATGAAATGCACACGGAGATAATTGTTAGCTGCGGTCCGACACGCCGGGGAGAAAGAGTGTAAACGACTGAGGCTCGCATGCGTCACAGCTATTAGAACTGAGGCAGAATGAGTGACAAGCGATTTCAGTGGTAATTGGCAGTGAGTAGATACGAGGATGTGCGTAGAGTATCGTGAGGTGGTGCTATGGTCACATTGCATTCTGCAAGAGTCATTCTAGCAAGCGGCGATTGTGTTGCAAGATGTCAAGAGGAGGTCTCTGTCTGGAGGCGCAGGTCGTCAGCGATGTGTGAAATTGTGCTGTGGGTATGCTTGTGGTGTGTTGGCTTTTCTGTTTGTTTTCCATTTCAGCTCTGTCCGTGTGACCCAGGTTCTCGCAATGGCATCCAAGTCAACGTGCATTGGTCGTGAAGGAAAAAACGGGTTGGATCCCTTTTTTGCCGGGGAGTGTCAATGTAGTTGAAGATTGAACGATCAATTCTTGGTTGTTTGCTCAAAATCAACTTCCCCAATTTTCGCGGAGGCATCAATACAACAGTCATCGTCTCATCGGTCGCTGTTCAGAAAGAAGTCAGCAGTAAACCATCAGAAGTAATCTTGTGATTTATTATTGTAATATTTGTTCACAGACCTTAGTAGAAATATTTTTTATATGTTGGTGTTACAATAAAGAATTCTCGAGCGGCCAATCGGTGTTTTGGTTTTTGCGTCCGTTATTACTAAGCGTTTCTGAAAACCTTCAAGGAACAGCGTGAGCCCGAGCGTAGCAAGAGCTGGGCATTAACGGTTTACGAGACGTGACTGACAGAGAGTTCCAATTTTCTTCCTCGGAGATTGGGATAAAGGCTACCTCCTCAAGCTCCCAAGGAAAAGCGACTTCGGCGTGTGGAAGAACTGTAATGGAACGATGTTCTTGTTCACTCCAATTAAAACAACAATCCGAGTCCTCCTGGAATTAATGAAGGGTCACTGAATACAAAAACCCGCCTGGAGGGAGCTGGATCCAGGAAAGGAAAATCATCTGCTGATAAAGTTGCAACTCTACGTGTCTTCATCGAACAAAGCATAGAATTGTATTCAAAACTGACTATACCTTAACTTCATAAAGGCCCTCAACAGCATTTACCTGGGCATAGTTTGGAAACTACTTTAGCACCACAGTGTACCTCAAGTCTTTATCAAACTCATTCAACCTCCATATGACAGTGGCAAGTTTCATGTGACCAACGACGGGAAACTCAACGAGACGCTCGAAGTGCATACAGGAGTAAGACAAGCCGGGTGTCTATTACCACCGACGATATTCTTCATTGTGGTGGACTGGATTATGCGTCAGATTGTTGGGAGCGAGGAGACAGGGACACGCTGGCCCTAGAAGATCTGAAATTTGTAGATGACATGTGTCCAATGTAACAGAAACTCGAAGGCTGATGGGCGAAAATTGACAAACTGACTGAAGAAGCAGCTAAGTCAGGACTGCAGGAGAACATAATAAAGACAGAGGGGATGTTGAGAACCAACCAACAGCACTAAAAGCCAGCACCACTCACCATCGACGGGAGAGATTTCCTAGAGTTTACACCCCTCACCTATATAGGAATCTATATTTCAACCACATGCACGGGTGGAGTTCTCGAATTTGGCAGGAATCGGAATGGCGAGATACGCCTTCATCAACCTGAAACCAGTTTGGAAATCTTCTGCCCAAACTAATCATAAGGAACAAAACTCAGTTTTTCAACAGCGATATCATGTGATTCCTTGTGCGCAACTCAAAAACTTGACGCAAACGTCACTTAATTCGTTACAAACAGGTCACAGACTCATATCAACATCTCTAGCTGGCTCCTTATTGAATATCAAATGGTCAGCTAGAAGGAGTTAGCAATAAAAAAATCTGTTGAGAACGGACCAACCAAGTACCTATCGCCTGAGAAATATGTAGGAGAAAATGGAGATGGATCGGGGACACACTGAAGAGACCGTCGAATGACATCACGCATCAGTCACATACTCAAGAGGAGCCTGGACGGGAAACGAAAAGTGGTCGTCAGTAGGAGGGTGACATGAAGGAGATCATGTCAGGAGGATTTGGTAGGTTGTGGGCGACCGTTGTCCAAGCTCAATGGGAAGGCAGAACAAACAGAAAAGTGGAGATGTGTTGTTGAAGTCCTATTTTCCACTCGAAACTCAGGGGAATAATAATATATTATACTAGAGATAAACTTTGAAATCAAGACAATTCCTCTCAGACCCGGACACACCCACCCGATAACTTCCGCTACGGCAGAAGGTTCTGTCAACACCTATGGATGATTTCCATGTGCTTATATCCTCCGTTCATCAAGTGTTACTGTTATTTAAACGAAAATAGGCTGTACTTATATTCTCAGGCATGGAGACTTCATTGGAGGACATTATGCATAGGGTGTAGCTTCTACACAAAGAAGACTATTTGTGAAGATGAAATCACACTCCGGCTATCCTTTGCACCTTTTTATAGCGATATTTTGATACGGTCCGCCTGTAACTGAAATCTTTGCTTCCAATATGCCGCAGGTGGATCACATGATGAGGACACCAACATGACTGGACAGCAAACGAGAATTCCTTTAAACCCAAAAAGCAGGAAACACAATTTTATTGAGAACTGTTCATAAAATAAATTTACCGAGGGAAATTGCAACCAACGTAATGGATATGCCCAGCCATATTCATGTTTTAGGACACAGACATACAGCCTACTACCTTGCCAAAATACGTCGATGGCCATAAGAAAAATCCAAAACTGTATTTCACTAAGTGTTGACTAAATAAGCTTTGATCCTTCCGTGGTTGCCATAATTGTTTTAATTTTGTTTTGACGCTTAAGTGAATCGGTAACTTACAATCACATGACCTTGAGGAAGGTTTGTGAGTTTTAATTTTTAGCATTTAATTGGGATGCACTGGCTGGTTTGCGGTTGGCGTCGTATTAAATAGGCCTTCTTCTGGTCTAGCCACATAACTACCTAGTCGTATAATTATAGACGAAAGTTATACTGTAGATTATCCACGTGAAATAAAAGAGATGTTAGTAATTTGGTGAAATATTTTGCCTTAAAATAAAAAAAATCAAAAATTAACTGTTACGTTTTTTGGCTACGTAACTTATTCAGATTGTACGCAAATGATGGAGACCCCGTAGAATAAAATGAGTTTATCTTTCGGAAACTGCCCATCAGGAGTCCCTGACAAACTACTTCCGAAATTAACTGTATAAATTTAGATATTCTGGGTGTACTGTATCCATCCAACTTCCACCCTTATTTTTATATTGCATAGAGAATAAGATGAGGAACTGTTTTTTTGGCTGAAAAGCTTTTGTCTGATGAGAATATCAGTAGCTTCTTGAATATAGTTTTGTCTGGTGAAGTAATCTATGTATTCATTGTATATGCTTTTAACACCAGAGTAATCAGACTATGTAACCACACGTTACATTTGTTGTTATGAAAATCTGTCGGAGTTCGGTAAATAGGTTTATCATTGTAATGTTTTTATCAAGACCAATTTAAAATACTGGATTAAAGCTAGTAGAGAGGGAATTATTTTACACTAGATGCATTCATTAAAAAGATATATGAGCAGCCTAACCAAGTGGCTCCAGTTGACAAACGTATACTCAAATACCAAGTCCATAGTGTGATCAAACCAATAAGTCCAACACAAAATTACCGTTAAAAATAAGCACGCGAAATAGATATGTTTTGATTGGTGGTGATTGGCATTGGGATTCAGGACAGGTGTTACATCCTCTGAAATCCTCTAGGTAGTGCCATCTTTATCCCAACTAGGTGTCAACACAGACCGACTATTTCAGTCCAGTAAAGCCTAATAAGAGGAAATTCATGAAGTTGAATAAAAAGGAAATTATTTTGCAGCCTCTGGAATGAAAGCAGTATTCCTTTAAGGATTAAGAAATTGGAATCTGAATTTTGTACACCCTCTAGTTCCAAATATCAGATTACGGGTTAAATCCCTGTTCTACTTACTAAAGTCTGGGTAGCGCAAATGCAAAAGATGTGGTTCACTATCACCCCGGTGTAAGTGGTTGTCTTGCTTACATTGCCAGAGTGATTCCATCTTCAAATATGAAATATTCGGTCCAGGGAAGATTACCATACTTTTCTTAGATCTCAGTTATTATATTTTTAGGGGTTCATCATTCTTATGCTTCGGCAAGCTAAGGATTTGGAAGGTAGAATTCAATTATCTAAGTTTTCTTTTTCTAATTTAGAATATTCCCATTCAATTTTTAGACTATCGAGCGTCTAGCCGAGTAAAATGACAGAAGGGTCTTCAAACTTTGGCCAGTCAACACCATCAGCCAATTTCAGTAATTATTTGGCTAATTCGAATCAGTTTAATAATTCGTATAATCAAAACTGTCAAAATCCTAACTACCCTCCTCTGTTTCATCCTGCAGCTGTAGCGGCCGTCGCTGCGGCAGCTGCAGCAGCCGGTTACACACAGCAATTCAATCCAGGCGTTGTAAGTTTTATTCAGTGTGATTTAACTACCTTCGACTGTTTTTTGCTTAAACTAATATCGAAATATTCATACACTTTATATCCTGCTGAATAACTAAGCTTCAACACAGAACTGCGACAGTTCAAGTTGCCACAATCCATGTGGAAAAACCTGATGGTCTGTTGTATACGGAAGAGCACAAGCAGTGAATACATCTGTGCCACTGAAAACGGTTTTCAGCCATATCACCAATAGTCTTCAACCATTGGTTGTTAGCAATCTAAATCTCCCTATGTGGCGAGGTCTCCCTCAGACCAACTGTCGAAGATTTCATTGACATTATGGGTTTTGCTTTGACCACCCCTAACACCTTTCCCAACCTAATCCTATTTCAGCTAACACTGTTAATCAAGGAAGGCGATATTCTGGAATGCTTAACAGGTGTTCTAGTCATTTCATTCGATGTAGCTTCATAACCTAATTGACTGACTTACACTCCTTGCCTAATACCCTACGGCTAACCTCAACATTACTCACCATATTATACGACTTAACACATGAGGTAGAACGCAACCATCTGTAATCAAAGATAGCTAACCTTTTCATATCTCTTACTTCCAGTGGCCATGTCTCACAGCTGTAAAGTAGGATAGATCAAACTTCTGTAGAGTACACATGTCCTTTGGTCGATAACCGGATATCCCGTCTACGCCAGAGATGACGTGAGTTGACATCCCACGTAAGCTTTTCTTATCTGCGCTGAGATTACATCAGCAATCATTTCATTGAGACTGATGCAACTTCATAAACTTCCTCCTAAAAGCTGAGAATGCATCCATTTCATTGATAATAGTAGTTCTGTGATGGAAAATTATGGAGAGGGAAAAAACGGATTAATGACGTGAAAATCGATTCAGTTTTCAGTTAATCAAATATCTAGGCTATTGCAACTGTTCGAAGACTAAACAGTTATTTCCGACGTGATCATAGTCACTGAAAATATATAACTTAATTAATCCCATTTGTTAGGGTATTAAAAATTTGTTCACTTGCTCATTCACTAACCTGTCTCTGCTTTAATGCTTATCAGTCCTCTAGCTTCTTTCTCAGATTACAGATTATCAAAGGTAGTGAACTGTTAAGTTCGTCTGGTTTGGATTGTTATGTCAGTAAAAGTGTCGAAGAATTGCATTACTCACCATATGTCAGTCTTGGCCACTGTTACTATCATTATGACTTCAATTTAGGTATAAATATGAGGTTGTTCATTATTCTCTCTATCATTGAGCGATGCCTATGGTGGATCAAAAGTTATTTCATGCTTCTGTTTACTAATGTCTTTGAAGCACAGTAGTCAAACTTTGTAGCAATACTGCTAGGGTTCTGTAATTGTTCTGAATATTTTTTCAGTTGTTTTCCCATCATCAGAGGCTTGTGCACTTCGCCTAGCTGCTGTTCTGTGTCATTCGAAGATTACTAATAAGCAGATTCTCTTCCAACTTTTAATAATTTCACCCTTACATTAAGATCAGCCTAGTTAGAATGTATTTGAACTTTAAAGAGAGAGAGAACATGAATATAAATAGCGTATGTATCAAACGTGGGCAGACAAGCACTTATCACTCGGTTTGTTAGGAATCCAGTTGATGCACAAAGAGAAGACATAACAACAAAGAAAATTCTCCTCCCTTTCTCAGCATTCTGAAGTGTTAAATTTAAATCTCTGTCGGGTTAAACAGTTTCACGTGAATTAACAAAAAAACTCGTACAAATCCAGCATTATCTCAAAGGTCACGATTTCGGTGAATTTTATCGCTTTTTCGAAACATTCAATGAATGTTACACTAAATTGTATGTCATAAACAATTTGGTTATAAATGTTGCCTTCGTATTTCATCATAATATTGTTTGCAGGCTAGATAAAGCTGGGATGTGTCCGACAGGGATGTCCACTTTCCCCATTTCTGTTTAACTTCATCGTAGATATCCTGATGGAAGTATCCTTAACTGAACGTAACGACTTAGGAATCGACTTGTTACCAGGGAGTAGTCTTATGGACTTAGAATATGCAGATGACATAGTCCTGTTAGGGGAGGATGCTGACAAAATGCAGAGTCTTCTGAACACCTTGGGCAGCAATCTCCGTATGTTTGGCATGCGATTGGCCCCTGCAAAATGTAAGATGCTGCTACAGGACTGAACTACGTCAACTCCTAAGCTTAGTGATAGGGAGTGAAGTGATAGAACATGTTGACCACTTCACCTATTTGGGAAGTTGTATCAGCACCAACGGACTGATTGGCGATGAAATCTCAGCACGGATCCGAAAAGCTCGAGCTGCTTTCGCTGACTTACACCATCTCTGGCGTAGGCGTGACATCCGGCTATCAACCAAGGGACGTGTGTACTGCTCAGCAGTTCGCTCCGTCCTTCTCTATGGCTCTGAAACATGGCCAGTACGAGTTGAAGACATGAAAAGGTTGACTGCTTTCGATCATAGATGTCTACGATCTCTTTCTCATGTTAGGTGGTATAGTAAGGTAAGTAATGTTGACGTTAGGCGTAGTGTTGGGCAGGCAAAGAGGGAAAATCAATCGACGAGGCTATAAAGTTACATAGATTGAGATGGCTAGGTCACGTGCTGCGCATGCCTAACCATCGCCTCCCCCGACGAGCATTACTAACTGATATAGGTGCAGGTTGGAAAAGAGTAAGTGGTGGCCAAACAAAAACATGGCATCAATCCATGAAATCCTTGACAGTTAAACTGAGTCAGGTAGGGAGATGCAGACTTCCGGGTTGGGGGCCTGGGGACTCTAGGAATCAATGGCTGGAGGAGACAATAGGTGACATGGCTCAAAATCGTTGTCAATGGCCAGCGCAGATGTGTTCAGTCTCTGTAATCTTTCATATTCCTTTCTACGATTACCCACTCTGTTTCACTCTTATACTTGTCAGACTGTATTGATTCTCTTCACTCATCTTCTTGTCTACCTCTGTGTGCTATTTGGAATGTGGCAACTCGAACTTGTGCACTTCGGTGACAAGTTCTATGTTGAATGCAGACAGACAGACAAAGCCGGTAAGTGTATTCTATCTACATTTTTACACCATACTGCAGCTTTCGGCTCTATTCTTAGGGCGACTTTATTGTGCAAGATAACTTCAGCACAAACTGGATCTTTTTTTTTTTTTAAAACAGGAAACAACGGGAAATGCTTCACTTTTTTGGTTTCTAAAGCTAGTTTACCTCAAGGTGTTGTACTTCTTCCGTTTTGCATGACTTACCGTTATCTTTTGAAGCTAATATCATTAAGTATGCGAACGAGCTGGTAATTTCTGTCCTATTTGTTTCTAAAACAAGCAACAAAGCAGGTTAATAAAGCAGGATTTAATGGATTCATCAAATTTCGGTAGAACTCTTCCTCAGCTGAATACTCTATATGCATGCAGGGATATATATACTTTTGAAATTACATTGGGAGACATAAGACTGATAAGCAAATAAACTGCAATTGAATTAATCATGCAGAAAGACAGGTGCGAATGTTTTCCAGGTCATGTTTAAATAGATAAGGAGAGAGGAAGTATAAGAGATCAAAATTGAGATAAATTGCATCCCATAGATAAATAATTAGTCATTAGAGAATATGACAAGAAATGCAAAGAGAGTAATATCAGTAGTAATAGTTATAATAACAATAATGATAATGATGTTGAAGTGAGTTAAGATAATGCTTCTGATAAATAAAAAAATAAAAATGATGGTTGTGTTTCTGCATTAAATTGTTCTGACATGAATAGTCAATCTGTCGGATACTAAATATTCTCTGTATTCACCACTTTCTCCTTGTATGTCTTCGTCTAAAAAGCAGGATAATTTCATAAGAATTTATGCTCGTACGGTTAAGTATCAAAGTTCCAGCACACTATATTTAGCATGGGTGTTGTGTGAGACGGTAAATGTCGGAAAAGAACTCATACACCTACTTTATAATCTGTAAATGTCCGCCGTTGGTTCGGCGGTAGAATACTCACCAGCCACGTGTCATGTGTTTGGGAGTTCGATCCCCGGTTGGCGCACTCCGAAACCCGGTAAATAGAGGAGGTGGTTGGGCGCGAAGCTGTGACAACTTCACCCCATCAAAAAATACAATTGCTACTGAAACTTATAAACTCAAGTTTGAAGCCTTATGTTCCACTTGGAACTCAAAGGAATATAACATGAAATATAATCTGTAAATAAACGGAAACTTATTACTACCATTATTATTACATATATTCTACCTTAGTTGTTGCGTAATTATGCTCCTGTCCATCCCAAGAAAAATACAAAGCCGTATCATCCTGGAGAGAATCAAACAAGCCAACTTGGATGAAAAACTTCGACCGAAACAAGCTGGATTCAGGAGAAACAAGTCATGTATTGATCAAATCGCCACTCTACGGATCATCATTGAAAAAAGGTTGGAATGGCAGTCACCTCTCCACCCCACTCAACTTCATCGACTTTGAAAAGGCCTTCGATAGCGCAGCGTCGATCGGGAGGTCATTTGGAAACTACTTCGCTACTACCGGGTCCCATCGACAATTATACATTTCATCCAACAGTTTTACGACAATGCTGCATGTCAAGTAATCCAAAACGGGAAACTTACGGAAGCCTTCGAAGTGAGGACGGGAGTGAGGCAAGGCAGGCTGGCTGCCTAATATCGCCAATGATCTTCCTGACTGCAGTAGATTGGATAATGCAACAGACAGCGGGCAATGAGGCAACAGGCGTAAAATGAACCCACACAAAAACTCGCAGGATCTGGACTTGTGTTCTATTTCCCACAGACTGGAAGATATGCAAGTGAAAAGCAACAAGCTGGCAGAAGAAGCATCAAAGATGGGACTTCAAGTGAACATAGATAAAACAGAGGTGATGAAGATTCCTGGTCAACACAAACAGCAACAACAACAACAGACAACAATCAGCCATCATAAATGGGAGGAACCTGAAAGAAACAACCTCCTTCACCTGCCCACTTACCTGAGAAGCTTCGTTTCAACTACAGGCCAGCGGAACTGACAAGGATATTAAAGCCAGAATCGTAAAAGCAAGGTAAGCCTTCATTACTCTCAAGTCTGTGTGGAGGTCAGCATCACTCACCATCAAAAATAAGATCCGGATTTTCAACTCCAATGTGAAGTCAGTCAGTGCTACTCACTGTACGGATCAGACTTGGTGCGTCATAAAGAGCATCTCAAACAAACTACAGGCCTTCATTAACAGTTGTCTTCTCTCGATACTCAAGGTCGGATGACCGGTCAGAAAGGATCACCAACAGGGATGTCTGGCAGTCAGCGAACCAACCAGCCAGGAACCGATTGTGCAGCAAATAAGCAGGAAGAAATGGAGATGGATTAGCTGGTCATGCTCTGAGGAAACCATCAAGTGACATCACTAGACAAGCCATTGCTCGAGTGGAACCCGAAAGGGAAGTGTCGAGTTGGTCGTGCAAGAGTGACTTGGAGGAGGTCATGTGAAGAGGAGATGAAAGCATGCGGGCAGATTTGGAGCCAGGTGAGAACTCTAGCAGAGAACCGAACGCAATGGAGACGCGCGGCTGAAACTCTATGTTCCTCTAGGAATTAAAAGATATAATAATAATATTACTAGCATTATTGTTACATATATTTTACCTTAGTTAAGTTCAATTTTCTCGGTTCTGTTATTTTCTACTAATTTATTTATTTATAAGAGGAGATACATTGTTTGCTGGAATCATGTAGAGTGCTAAAAATTCCACTCTGAATAAAACTTGTTGTTAATGAAGTGATGACTGTTAGAAGATAAACTTGTGATTATTTTTCGCTTGCATAATTGCATGTTTCGTATTTCTTTTTACTTACAGATAGGTCATACACTTGGCTCAAATGCTTACCTATCTCCTTCCGATGCGAGTAGAGCTTATTATGCTAGATTCGCTTTACAACAGTCTGGACTGTATCCCGGTTCAAGTACTTTCAATAACTTTGGAGGTATGAATATACCACATGATTTCCCATTGTCAAATTCTACTGTTCCATCTATTCCGTCTTCCTCCAGTGGATCAGGATTCTCATTAGGTAGTAGTGGGCCATCAAGTTATGTACAGAAATCCGAAAACTGTTCGAATTCACAACAGCAACAACCCGCTGGTCAGTCAACTAAGCCTCCTAAATCTTCAGGCAATAATAAAGGGAGTACAAAGTCACCAGGTATTCGGAATAGAAAGTCGTTATCATCTGAAGAGTTGGCGAATCGAAAACATCAAGAATTCAGCGAACTTGTTAAAGCTAGGACAGAGAAATTGATGTCAGACGGTCCTGTGCTAAATGTGAGAATGTGAATTTTTTTCGAATGTGCTAAAGTTCCTTCATTTAATCCTTTTTTATAGTCGTATTATTTTTGTATTTCATACAGTTTTATTTGAAATTTTGATTACTGTATTATTTTAGTTGTTTTTATTGACTAGGGAGATCATTTCTTTAACAATAGGATTTTTCTCCAGAAAGATTAGACATCCATGCTACCTGTCCGCACTGGGGTCAGAAAACGTCGACCCGGAGAATTGTACCTCCGGACCTACCTTGCGGTGATCACAACTCTAAAGGCTTACGGCGAGCTGTCATCTGAACTGGTGACGACCAGTGGTGTCCGTCAAGGATGCCCATCATCCCCTTTTCTATTCAACTTCATCATAGATGTGTTAATGGACTTAACCCTAAGTGACTTCAGCGATTCAGGGATTGACTTGCTACCAGGGAATAATCTCGTTGACTTAGAATATGCAGACGATATAGTCCTTCTAGGCGAAGACGCTGACGAAATGCAGTCTTCTGAACACCTTGAGCCGCAATCTACGAATGTTTGGCATGCGATTCGCTCCTACCAAATGCAAGATGATGTTACAGGACTGGACTACATCGACGCCTAGTTTAAAAATAGGAAGTGAAGTGGTAGAGCACGTTGACCGCTTCACTTATTTGGGAAGTACCATCAGCCAGTGCCAACGGGTTGATCTCTGACGAAATCTCAGCACAAATACAGGGGGCTCGTTTCGCATTTGCCAGTTTACGCCGACTCTGGCGTAGACGAGATGTTCGACTATCGACCAAAGGGCGGGTGTACTGCTCATCAGTCCGCTCCATCCTCCTTTATGGCTGTGAGTGAGACCTGGCCACTGAGAGTGGAAGACATGAAAAGACCAGCTGGCTGTCTTTGATCATAGGTGCCTGCGCTCTATTTCCCGTGTAAAGTGGCATAATAAGGTGAGCAACATTGAGGTTAGGTGTAGAGTTCTAGGTAAACAGGGGAAATCAATCGATAAAGTCTTGAAGCTACAAAGACTGAGATGGTTAGGACATGTGTTGCGTATGCCAAGCCATCGCCTCCCTCGACAAGCAATGTTAGCGGATATAGGGTCAGGCTGGAAAAAAGCTAGCGGCGGTCAAACAAAAACTTGGCACCAGTCAATGAAATCCACAACAGTTGGTCTAAGCCACGTAGGAAGGTGTCGACTTCCAGGCTGGGGTCCTCGGGACGGTAAAAATCTATGGTTGGAAACAATTGGTGACATGGCTGAAAATCGTTCTCAGTGGCGCAGATGCATCCACTCCTTGTGACTTATGATCTCCAATGAAACTGTTTTGTTCTTCGTTATTACTCCTTTGTCTCACACCTCTGTTCACTGTTTCTATTATGCTTTTCTTATACTTTCTTCTCTTGCTTCGCGTGCTACACGGAGTGTGACGACTTGAACTTCCGCACATTTGTGCAAAGTTCTATGTCGAAAACAGACAGACAGACATGAAATGCAATTAAAACTAAAATACTTGTGATTATAATCATAGGTAAATGTTAAGTGGCAAAGCAAATTAATGTCATACATAGAATAATTCATAGGATCGATAGAACTTGAAAAAGGATGTGCAATTATAGGATTAGTAGACAAATCGAATAAAACAAAAAACATTACGTAATATTGTATGAAATTTAATAGCATAGAATTCATCGTTGTACAAAAGAATTGATTTAGAAGGACAAGCGGAACAAGGAAAATAATACTGGGGACAGTTCGAAGTGAGAATAATAATAATAACAGTAACAAGTGACGTAATAAGGAAGAGTATACAAATTGAATAGACAAAATGAAAAAATGAAAAATTGGTAGAGCTAAAATATGATTTGGGATTACCATACTTTAGCATAGAGGGATTAAGACTATGAAAGTTGAAGGGGTTGAACGAACTTTTTCTGTACACAGAGATCTGGCTTTTCTGTTTCGATAGCCAAAGCTTCAGCAATACAGATGAGTTAGGTACGTAGGGATTTGGGTAAATTACTCTTTGCCTTGTAGATGACTTTAAAGGTGGAGGCTGTAGAAAGATAGGGTGATCATTATCAACCAGATGTTCAATGATCGCGCTTCTTATTGCCCCACTTCCACCTCTTCGTAACCATGCAGGATAGTGCTGTTGCACCCTCTTGGAAAAAACTCGAGTCGAACGACCGATATACCTAGCTCCACAGGAGCAGGTGAATTGATAAACACACATAGAGTTGGTCAACAGCGGGATCTTGTCCTTCAGGTTATTGAACAGTAATGGTCGACTAGTAAAGGCTATTCTCAGGGATGCAGCAGGGAATGTTCTTTTCAGGGACTGTGTTATCCTTCGTTTCATGATATCGGAAGCTAAGTCTTCTCTGAATTCCAAGCTCATGTAAAGTATCTATTTTCTTGGGTACGGTTAAGTCGCGTTTTTGTAGGCTTTGAATGTATTTTCCTATCGATAAAACGTGGTGGAAATCCATTTTCCATTAGGATTTTCCTCAAAATGTATAACTCATCTTCCACAGTATCAGTGCTACATATGCACCGAATACGAATGGCAAGCGACCGGACCAGGTTTCGTTTTCGACCAATAGGTACCCAGCTGTAGAAATTTGTCAGTTGACCATTCTATTACAACTTACTATAAATCGATCTCTTCAAAGTTGCATCGGTCTTTCTTGATAAGTTCACGTCGAGGAAATGAATGCTAGACTCGTTCTCCATTTCGAGTGTAAATTTTATCGCTGGATGGCAATCATTAAATACATTTAATATATTATTCAAGTTACAATCACTATTACAAATAATAAAGGTGTCATCTACATACCTTTTATACATTTGAAAGCTTTGGATTATAGGCTTCAGCTGACCACCTGACATTTAACTACGATTATAATCACAAACATTTTAGTTTTAATTGCACTTCATATTATTATTATTTTATGCGTTCACACCTAAGATTCAATTCCCTCACCGGATATAACTTCTTAAAAAAAGCATACATATACGACTGTACAGCTTGATGATAAATTCGTTGAAAAGAGTCTCTTCGCTGAATCACTTGTTTTGATTTTCTATATGTTACAATGGGAATTTTCCATGAGATCTCATTAAGACGGTCAAATAATACAGACGCCTGACTCGTGTCGTTTTTAAACAATAAACGTATCATCGGCATATCGGCGATAGTAGGTTATTTCATTGACATCTCGTCTGCTAAAGATAACCCATGAAGATATCGGACAGAGTAGGTTCTAAGGGGTTCACGTCCAAATGCGTTTATAAGTTAACGTCCACTCGCGAGATCAAGTACATTGGAAGGACAGAAAGAAGGTTTTTTTTACCCGGTATTCAAAGCACATCCCAAGAAACTTATATCTAAAAGGAAGCAGATATTCGCAAAGTGTATATAAATTGATGATAACTTAAATCAAACATTGTAATGCTTACACACCGGATGCGTTCATCTTATAACATTTTCTCTATTACCATTCAAATATTGTGAAGTATTTTATCGTCATTACTTATAACCGTTGTTATTTTAGTCAGGTGTGTGCAGCTGATGATAACCTGTGAAATAGAATGGTGATATTATTTTATGCTACAAATCTGGTCTTTCTTTTTTCATAAAAGGGGAATATATATTTAGAATCTCACGTAGTTGCTTTCTGTGCTCTGCTGAAATCAATCTTCTGACGTTTGATTTCGTGTTGATGTACTGATGGCAGCTATTTAATACTGTAGACTTAAATTGTTCATATGATTTGTTGGACGCTGCAGAAAGGTCATTTGTCTGTTGGATCAGTGCTTCAAACTGGACTTTGATATCCAGATAACTCGAATTTGTTGAAATATCACAGAATATTGGACCCGACGACAAGGCTTGCAATTGGACAGGAGTCAATGATATACTAGAGTAGTTGACGTATTTTTCTGGTGTAGCAGGAAAACGTGAGTAAGTGTCGGTGGCTTTGAGGTTATTCGCGAGTTTCAGGTTTACATCTTCACAGCGTCTTCTTGAAACTGACTCTATGTAGTCCATGAAACTTCTCTGCTTGTCTTCTGTCAGCTTATATAGAGCATGTGTTCTTAGTGAAATATTTCTTTCTATCTCCGGTAGTCGAGATTTTATTTCGTCGATGACGTTCAATGTATGACGTTTCAAAGAGCGATGGTTTAGGTGAATATGATTGTGACGAAGACATTTCCAGAAGTGCTTGGGATATTCTTTCTTATCAATACAGCTCTTCAGAAAACTGATTCTCGTATTCGCTATGGCAAGTTTGACAGAAAACTTAAGAAACATATCAAGTTCCTTCACTTTCACAAGGTTCTTGCCCTGCTTCAAATCACGGAAAATACCCACTGAGTCATGAAGAAAATAAAAGACGGATTCAGTGAAGAAAATTTTCTTTATCGACGAAATCATCTTCAGAGGCTGTACAGTCGTATTTATACTTAGAAAAATGTATAGTGGTCTATTGAGTAATAGGGGGTGACATAATTGATACAATTGCAGCGTTCAACAAATCATATGAACAATTCAAGTCTACAGTATTAAATAGCTGTCATCAGTACATCAACACGAAGTCAAACGTCAGAAGATTGATTTCAGCAGAGCACAGAAAGCAACTACGTGAGATTCTAAAGAACAAAGACTTGGTTGTGACACGCCCCGACAAAGGTTCTGGCATTGTCCTGATGGGTCGCCAAGACTACATCCATAGAATATATATTTCTTCGTTCGATTTGTTGCTTTTTCTAATATGTTTAATTGACTGACTGGCGGACTAATTTCAACAAAGAACTTTCACAAAGATGAAACAATTCGAGTTGCTACACTCCAGTTAGCATACAATCGAAGACAAAAAACAAAATATATTCCAAAGATCGATAATAAACAGAAATGTGAAAGAGAAAGAATGATAACGTAGAAAAACAATAGGATATTTTGTATATGACAGATCACAGAGAGTGTGTGCATCTGCACCAGCCATTAACAACAATTTCGAGGCATATTACCAACACTCTCAAGTACTCGGTTCTTAATATTCTGTGGGCTCCAACCAAGCAGTCCACACTATTCTAAATGGTTCAAATTAACTGTTAAAGATTTTATGGACTGATTCCATGTTTTGGTTTGACCTTCAGTAGCTCTTTTCCAACATGATCATACACGTCAGCTAACATTGGTCGTCTAGAGAGGCGATGCCTTGGCATGCGTGACACAGAATGTCCTAGCCATCTCTCCTAATCGATGTAGCTTTAATAGACATTACAGTGACCGCTGTATGACGAATAAGACAATGATTACCTTTTTGATTGCATTTTTCTTTCCACATAGATGGGTCATCCACTTAACTTAACAGCAAATAGCAATGGGTTGAACACATTCGTATCATCTGCCAACATGAACAGAGCGTATTACAACAACCCTGTTTTACAACAGTCTGGACTGTATCCTGGCTCAAATACGTTCAATAATTTTGGAGGTATAAATATACCACATGACTTTCAAGTGTCGAATTCCACTACTATTCCATCCTCCACCAGTGGATCAGGATTCTCATTAGGTAATAGTGGACCATCAACAAACGATGTGCTAAAACCTGAAAACTGTTCAAATTCACAGCAGCAACAGCAACAATCTACCGGTCAGTCAACTAAACCTCCTAAATCTTCAAGTAGCGTTAAAGGGAGTACAAAGTCATCAGGTACTCGGAATAGAAAGTTGCTATCATCTGAAGAATTGGCAAATCGAAAACGTCAAGAATTTAATGAACTTGTTAAAGCTAGAACAGAGAAATTGATGTCAGACGGTCCTGTATTAAATGTGAGGATCTTACCTTTTTTCAATTTACGGAAATTTTTTAACTACGACTTTTTTATCTTCTTGTGTTTTCGTTATTTCATGCTGTTTTGTGTAAAACTTTGGTGACTGTGTTAATGTAGCCATTTTGTTGACTGGAGAGGTTATTGGTGAGTTAAAAAACGTTGGCAGGCTTTCGGAATGTGCGTATGCTGCTAAATTGCGTGGCAGTTTTTTACATGACTAGCTACAGTGAAACCAACTATTTCCCTCTATGATATTTTATCAGTCACCTTGTTCTCCGATAATTATAGTTAGCGTGGATTCTAGGTGATGTTTATCTCAGGCCACTACCCTTCAGTCTCAATAATATTAATAATAATAATTTGCTTCATTCCAAAAGAAGTACTTGTGATACAGTGTGGAATTCTCAGCGTTTGGTACAATACTACATCTAATTTACACGACAACAGAACTGTGGTCTGGAACTGTCTGTTAGAGAGAGGTGTACCTGAGAATTTTGTTAACATCTTGAAAGCCCTATACAGAAACACCTCGTCAGGTAGAGTGAGGGCATACAACCAACTATCATCACTGTTCCCAACACCAAACAGTGGGATTAGACAGGGTTGCCAAATCTCTCCATTTCTCTTTAACTTTGCCATCAATGACATTCTGGAGTCAGCTCTGAAGAATGTGCGTGGTGGTGGTGGTGGTGGTGGTGTAGGTCTGCTACCTGGAGATAGACTTTTCGACCTCGAGTATACAGACGATATCGTCTTACTGTGCGATAGCATGCAGGCTGCCCAAATCGCACTTATTCAGTTGGCGATCAGTGTCTGTAAGTATGGTATGTACTTTGCGCCGTCTAAGTGCAAAGTCTAAGTGCTGTTACAAGATTGGCAGGAGCCTGTATCTGCACTCACTCTTGCGGGTGGACCGCTTGAATTTGTTAATAAGTTTGTGTATCTGGGTAGTTGTGTGAGTGCTGGCGGAGGGGTGACGGATGAGATTTCCAACCATATAATGAAAACTAGGGCGGCATACATCAACTTGAGCCACCTCTGGCGCCGTCGCGACGTTAGCCTGGCTGTCAAAGGTCGGGTTTACAATGCTTTGATGCGGACTGCTTTGCTCTACGCCTGTGAAACCTGGCCTCTCCGAGTAGGCTGAGGATGTGCGGTGACTCTGCGTGTTCGATCACCGCTGTCTCCACAGGATTGCTTGCGTTCGATGGCATCATCGTGTGAGTAATTCTGAGGTTCGGCGGCATGTGTTTGAACACAGCGGAGATCACCATTCATTGAGTGTCGTCATCTGGAAACAACGGCTCCGGTGGCTTGGACATGTGCTGTGAATGTCATCCCAGAGGCTAACGTACAGGTCTCTGTTCGCTAGCCAGCCCTGGGACGGAATAGAAAAGGCGGAGAGGTGGTCAGTCCATGACGTGGCATCGTGGGATGAAGGATATATTTGTGCTAGATTAGCATCGGTTGGTGTGTCACGACTCCCTGGTAGCTCAAATCGATGGCTCGAAACGTTATCGGATATGGCCAAGAATCGCAGCCATCAATGGCGAACGTGTTGCAATTTCCTTCTTCCGTCCGTTCCCGATGATAGTTAACGAATACTGTTTGAACTCGTTAAGCATGACTGTTTTCCTTCCATATGAAGTTCCTTATCCGTTCTCTACATATATATTTTTTTCTTTTGATCTATGTTGTTTTATTATTATTGTGTGGCACATCTGTCTTGGTACCATATTGCACCAAGTTTCATTTTCTGCGTCCAAATAAATAAATAAACAAACAATAAATACTTGACAACACCCAAAACAAAAATAAAAAGTAGTATTACTGGATTGATAATAGCTGCTGTTTTTAGTATCACCAGTGACAATAAAGTCAAAAATGTACAAAATACGTAAAGTAATGCTAATAATGTTAATAGCTAAAATTAGAAGTTGACTGAAATAGTCTCACCATAAATTACGAATAGAGCAGTATAAAAGAGCCCATTATTTTGCTAATAACATATTCAGTTATAACTTTCACGCTTAATACTATCTCGGTTACATTGAACGCCGGCGAAATATAGTATCGTTAAGTTTCTGTACAAGGCTGTGCAAGCCTGCATATAATCTTTTATGCTGACTTCTAGTCCTACCTGGTGAGATTCAAGTGTGAGGAGAGTTGAGAATAGAGTGAGCGTTGAGTGTCAAACAGCATGGATTTAGACTGTTTCTCACATGAGTTCAAATATCTGTCGGAAACAGTACAATAGTAACAAACTGACTAAGTGGTACACTACTTGCCCTACTGACAGCCTTTAATACCCTTTTCCTCAATATGACAGTCCTTTTTGTGCAACCGAGGAAAGACTAAAGGGGAGCAGTAAAAGATGCAAGAGTTAACAAAGTGTAAAAGTAGAACTGGAATGATATCTGATTGTCTTAACTTCTTAATGGTATTAAGCTATATGGAACACTTTCTTAGAAATTGACAAGATATGCGATGACCTATAGTGGTCAGATGAAAGAACTATTCCAGTATATTTTATACGTGACTTCAGTGTCCTCTATTATGCAAGCATCATGTGAACGAATTAGCTTACTCACTACTTCAATATTATTATTTTGATTCAAGGCTGTCACAAGTAGTTTCTTTTTAGTAATATTTAATATTGTGTACCACATAAAATAGAATTATTTTGAGTGGTTGGAAGGAATCAACAGTAAGCTCTGAACCTTAGTATTATTTGTTGACAGTCATCGAGATGGCATATCGAAAGAACTGAGGGACTTGAACCCATATCACTCAGTACTACAGTCATAAACTTTCCCACCGAGCTCTGCATGCTCAGGATTTCTTCTTTTTACAGCCTTTATTTTTATTTTTTGATTTACAGCCTTAGTGTGTGCGTCGGTGGCACAGTGGTTAGGACTCTCGCCGACCATCCACATGGTCCGGGGTTCGATCCCCTACCGACGCACACCTGATATCATTTGGTCGACCTGCAAAATTTGGGCTACCGATATTACATGGTGAAAATTTCATACTTGTACCCAAAATACAGTGTGGAATCAAGCTGTAATAAAAAAATTAATGTATACACCGACTGATTGCTGGACTGGCCTGTCTCTAATTTCCAAGTTGGTCATCATCAAATGAGATGACTCTCCATCTCTACGTACATCCAGGTTGCTGATACACTTTGTTGACATTTATCAGCAAGAGGGTAACCATGCCCAAGGTTTCCTGTTTATTGCTTCCATCCAAGTAACACGTATTGAAAGTTATGTTTTGATATCAACTAACCTTGCGAAGTTAAATTATATCATTCGATCAGGTGCTAACACACAAAGGACAAGAGACATACATAACATCCAGGCACTTTCAAGTGACCAAATCGATGCATGAACAGAATTATACTGTTATGGATTTTGTAGACAAGCCTTACTGACGAATGCATGACACTATATATGCTTCTGGTTAATTGAAATGAGTCGAACCGGGTACACAGATGATTAAGTGAGCCACAAATGAGCTAAACAGCTGTCTGGTATTTAGATCACTTCGATGTGGATAGCGAGCACTACTGGTGTTGGTGTGTTTGTGGTGTTCAGCTGCTCGTCTCAATCAATCGGTAGTTAGTAATAGTAGTAAATGCATTAATGCTTGCTTTCTTCATTTCCATTCGTGGTATGAAGCAAATCATATAGTGTAATGTGAACCATTTTGGTTCCTAAGTGAGAAATTCGTGTGTTGAAATTTCACTCACTCTGAACTGTATAGATAGACAATTATGCATTTAGCTGACTGATGGATGAGTGGTGCTTCTATATATATTATGGAGAAAATTTATTTTTGATAAAGTTACACAGTGTTATACGCTAATATTTACTGAGGACGTTTCGAGCGCAATTTATTGCCCATAATCATATGAATATTTACTCAGACAACTTTTCGACTTCGATTATGTAATTCCATTATTTGTCATTTCTTGATTTGATTGGTAATAATATTTTCCATATCTCTGACGTTGTGCGTCGGTGGCATAGCGGTTAGGACGCTCACCGACCATGCACATGATCCGGGGTTCGATCCCCGGCCACCGACGCACCCTGTTTTACCTCGCTAAGCGAGAAATAATGCTGGTAAAGAGGAAAGGTTTGGCATGAGGCTATCAACCCCATCCTGTAAAATAAGCACTGCTACAGAAACTTCAAGCCACTAGCTTGAAGCCCTATGTTCTACTGGGGAACGTGAAGGAATAAAAAAGATATATCTGGCGTTGGTGATGAGTCATTCCTATTGCACGTGTTGGGTGTAGATTATTCTATGAACCAGGATTCAGTAATCAACCTCTATCTCTCTCCACCTACTTATATTACTTCTTTGAATTTTAACCCTCTCCCACCACCCTATGGTGTGGTTGTGTGTTAATGCATGCAGTGCAATGTAGCGCTGAGCTTTATTCTAAATTACTTATCTTCGCGATCGGGACCAATCATTCTAACGTTAGTTAAATTCCCAAGTTCTCATAATCTGACTACCCCTTATCTACTGGTTTGATCTATGTAGTTGACTTCGCTCACAGTCATTGTAAGGTATTTTGTAAATTGTATTATTTTATCTAAATCGGATCCACTGGGTCCTTTAGTCCATAAAGCTTGTCTCTGTGTGGGTTTGTACGTTTAAATGTCACCCTAATTCCTGCTTTATTGAGAATCCTACGTAGGGCCTCAGATGTGCCCTTCTTATATGGTGAAACTGTAGATGCCTCATATTCTCTTATATTTGTGTTGCCATTATTAGTTTCCCAATTATTTTTTATTATTTTTTTGACTTTTTCTGATCATCCTAATGAATTTTATAGGATAGTTAGTTATTTGGCACCAAGGCTTCTATCTGTTTCATTACATCGTTTAGGTGTTTTAACGTATACTACTTAGTACTGTTGCTTAACTAAGCCTGCCTTCACAGACAGATAACGCATGGGATGAATTAAGTGTCTAAATATGTATTAACAGAATGTTTCATTACATCGTTTAGGTGTTTTAACGTATACTACTTAGTACTGTTGCTTAACTAAGCCTGCCTTCACAGACAGATAACGCATGGGATGAATTAAGTGTCTAAATATGTATTAACAGAATGTTTCATTACATCGTTTAGGTGTTTTAACGTATACTACTAAGTACTGTTGCTTAACTAAGCCTGCCTTCACAGACAGATAACACATGGGATGAATTAAGTGTCTAAATATCTACTAACAGAATGCGTTGGCTTTTTATAAGCTCCAGTGTGCACTCTACCGTCTTCCGTTCGTTTTATTTTACAGTCTGACATCATGGCTAATTCTCCTTCTTCATTTTTTGATTCAAATGTGAATTTTATTCCCTTTACTAGTGAGTTTATATGTGTCAAGGGCCTAGACTGTGATATGTTCTGTTTTTAACACCGAGTGAGTGAAAGTGTCATCCACATATCTCCACTATATTATCTTTGGAGAGTAGGATTAGATGTATGAAGAGCAATATTTATGAAAACTAAATTTCTCCATATTGGAATCACATTCTCCCACTACAATGCCCAACTCCTATTCTTATGTCAGTGCTTGTATATATGTGTTTGTGAATATGTATTTTATATTAATATTTTAGACTGAACAGCCTGGACAAAGTTCAACAGCTCTATCTTCATCAAGTTCAGCTGGTTCTACTGGACCAGAATCGGATGCACCAAATTATCGAAAGTTAATACACGCTGTCTTAGATGCAAAAAAATCAGCTCTGTTAAGATCACCACATGTTATTGATTTCCTGTCTAGTCGTCAACGTGCATTAACTGATTATAAACGTCAAACAGAATTATTCAGTGTTACAATGAACAAATGAAAACCTGTTGTGAATTATTATTATTATATTTTATAACCAATTGTATCATATGAATGTGTATAAATACGCATATTTTTTTTTACTTTCTACTGCATTTCTATGGTGTTTTTTATTTTTTAATTGTTCAAATAAATACAGTTACAAGATAACAGATATCAATTGAAGCCAGCAGTGTTGACTTCGTTCCGGTTGAGATGTAACTGTACCTTCCGTGAACTATAGTGCTATCACCAATAACCATTGTGCTAAACACCTACACGTCTTTAACTAAGCCACTGGAATACAATAACCAACCGCCTATTGTGTAATTGCTATCACTTGTTATGTGTTGAAGTTATTCGCGTGTTTGATTTTTATTCGGTCGGAAAGCTCGGTCTCTGTTGATGTGTTGACTCCTAGCATAGGGACTCTTCGACGATTTCTGACGATCAACATGATGTTATTCGGTTTGATCGACGGAAAATGTAACAGCAGAACACGATAGTCTTTGTGAGGTGGTTGTATATATATATACGAGAAGTGGATATTTGTGGCCAGAACTTCCTGTATGTTTTGAACAAATTGACAGTTTTCTATAGATCCTCTCCAGCACTAATGCTTATTTCCACCTTCGGGATAAAGTCCGTTTTCATACAGGTATACAGTATATGGACTCACCAAACAGTGACTGAAATCACCAGCTTCGCTTATCGCATTATTAGTCTGGGATTAGTAGACAAATCGAATAAAACAAAAACGTTACGTAATATTGTGTGAAATTTAACAGTATAGAGTTTATCGTTGTTTTTTACAACGATTTGTCTACTAATCCTATAATTGCACACCCTTTTTCAAGTTCTATCCATCCTATCAATTATTCTATATATTTTCAAGTATTGGTTTTGTAGGGATTTTGTTTGATTGTATGGAGGATTTCACCATGAGCTTTCATCAGGGGTTCTAGTGGGAAGCCGTGACCAGTAGGGTACAGCAGGTCGAAGATGGGGCAGTAACTCATCGAGGAAGACATTGCGAAGTGATCGCGCTATGTCGTGAACTGGCAGAAGTTAGATTTCAAGAACCATTGGATCAAGTCCCAGTGGCTCAATGGTCTACGAGCTCGCCCTGTAACCAGAAGGTCCTGGATTCGAACAACGGTGGGTGCGTACTGATGAAGAGTCCTAAACTAGGACGAAACAGCTTTCCATTACTCCCAGGTTTTCCAGTGGTTCTCTAACTGATGTCAGCTCATGGTGAAATCCTCCATATTCTATATATGACATTAATTTGCTTTGCAATTTGACATTAGTCATTACAAATATATATGCGATGACTGCTTACATATTTCTATTGGTAAAAATGACCATGGACAAATGACCTCCAAATAAACTGACTTCAATTTATGTGAAAAATTTTGACTATATATTTTGACGATTAATAAAAATTCGAATAAATCTGCTGAAGAAGCTGTGGTGACTAACACAGCGAAACGTTCAGAAAACTGATCTTCTTTTGATTTTCTTAACACGCTGGGATTAATTTAAATAATTTATAATGAATCAATCTGACTCGGCGCTCAAATTATTCCAGGTAGTTCGTAACACCTACGGTCTGGAAACCTATGTTCAGTTAATAATTACAAAGTGGCTATATCATTAAGCAAAAACATCCCTATTAGATAAAATTCTTTTATCTAATAACTTAATCATCACATAATTACATACATCTGATTGATGGCAAAATTTACAAATACAAATGGAAATCATGTTTGTTTGTTTGTCTTTTCAAATATAACGCGCGGGGAGGGGGATTCAATCGAAAGATAAGATACTTTATAAAGCATAACTCGTTGATGATGACAATCTCTTGTGTCTACGAATGATGTACGCTGACTACTACATCGATGAATAAGAAGCATCTGTTGTAAACGACGTTGATGACGAGGTTGTATCCGCTGAAGTTGTTGACGTCGAAGTATCCATCATCATCATTGATGATAACGACGATGAAGTAGAGTCGAAATCACTTTCGGTTAATTGACTATCACTACCACTTTCAAATTCTGACGATGAATTTTTATCGATTTCAGCTTCATCTGTTATTTTTTGACGAGATTCAATCTCTTTACATCGTTCAATTTGTAAACATTTGGGCATAAATAAATCATAAATTTCTTCGATAAAATTATCTAAAATTTTTAATGAAACATGTCGATGACATGGTTTAAAGCATAGAGGACATTTAGGCTTATGCTTTAACCATACATGTATACAATAAGTACAAAATATATGACCACAATGGAGTACACTAGAGAAGATAACAATTTCATGGCATATAGCACAATGCAATTCTTTCTCTAATAATTGTTTTATCACAGTGTAAGAAATGCTTTTAGAAAAATCTGGTGATTTCTCTTCAGAATAATTTAATTCTTCTCTTCGTCTTTTATATTGTACAGACATATTTTATTATTATATTTATTATATATAAATATGTACACAGATGAGGGAAATGGTTAGTGTATATGCGCCTTCTTGACACTTAAATCAAGTGGATATATGTGACAGTGAATAAATAAATCGATTGTGCTTTTTTTTTAAATATCCCATGTCGATTGATTATTTACTGAGCTAATAAATAACTGGGCTGAATAGTCTCTCTCTGTTGTCTATATTGAAGTAGGGCTTTTCAGTTTATATTAGTTTGTTTGTTCATTAACTAACTATTAGATGATGGTTGAAGGCAAGTGAAAAGCAACAAGTTGGCGATAGAAAAAGCATCAAAGATAGGACTTCAAGTGAACATAGATAAAACATAGGTGGTGAAGATACCTGGCCAACAACAATCAGCCATCATAAATGAGAGGAACCTGAAAGAAACAACCTCCTTCACCTACCTACCTGGGAAGCATCGTTTCAACTACAGGTGGACGAAACTGACGAGGATATCAAGCAGAGAGGACGGGGAAAGCAAGATAAGCTTTCATTACTCTCAAGTCCGTGTGGAGGTCAACAGCCCCACTCAGCATCAAAATGAAAATAAGATCCGGATTTTCAACTGCAATGTGAAGTCAGTCAGTGCTACTCACTATACGGATCAAAGACTTGACCAGCGCGTCATAAAGAGCATCTCAAACAAACTACAGGCCTTCATTAACAGTTGTCTTCTCTCGATACTCAAGGTCGGATGACCGGTCAGAAAGGATCACCAACAGGGATGTCTGGCAGTCAGCGAACCAACCAGCCAGGAACCGATTGTGCAGCAAATAAGCAGGAAGAAATGGAGATGGATTGGCTGGCCATACTCTGAGGAAACCATCAAGTGACATCACTAGACAGGCCAGTGCTCGAATGGAACCCGAAAGGGAAGCGGTGAGTTGGTCGTCAGTACAGGGGTGACTTGGAGGAGGTCATGTGAAGAGGAGATGAAAACATGTGGGCAGACTTGGAGCCAGGTGAAAACTCTAGCAGAGAACCGAACGCAATGGAAACGGGCGGCTGAAGCCCTATGTTCCTCTAAGAATTAAAGAAAATAATAATAATAAGTTGCCGTACGTCACCTAAGTGTGCATGTACTGGGAACTTCCAAATTTTTTACCGAGTACTTGTTCTCTGGTGACTACATAATATCTGTCTGTCTCTGTGTGGATTCTGACTGTCTGTCTGTTTTCGACATAGAACTTTGCACAAATGTGCGGAAGTTCAAGTCGCCACACTCCGTGTAGCACGCGAAGCAAGAGAAGAAAGTACAAGAAAAGCATAACAGAAACAGTGAGAAGAGGTGTGAGACAAAGGAGTAATAAAGAAATACAAAACAGTTTCATTGGAGATCATAAGTCACAAGGAGTGGATGCATCTGCGCCACTGAGAACGATTTTCAGCCATGTCACCAATTGTTTCCAACCATAGATTTTTACCGTCCCGAGGACCCCAGCCTGGAAGTCTACACCTTTCTACGTGGCTTAGACCAACTGTTGTGGATTTCATTGACTGGTGCCAAGTTTTTGTTTGACCGCCGCTAGCTTTTTTCCAGCCTGACCCTATATCCGCTAACATTGCTCGTCGAGGGAGGCGATGGCTTGGCATACGCAACACATGTCCTAACCATCTCAGTCTTTGTAACATCAAGACTTTATCGATTGATTTCCCCTGTTTACCTAGAACTCTACGCCTAACCTCAATGTTGCTCACCTTATTATGCCACTTTACACGGGGAATAGAGCGCAGGCACCTATGATCAAAGACAGCTACCTGGCCTTTTCATGTCTTCATCTCTCAGTGGCCAGGTCTCACAACCATAAAGGAGGACGGAGCGGACTGATGAGCAGTACACCCGCCCTTTGGTCGATAGTCGAACGTCTCGTCTACGCCAGAGTCGGCGTGAACTGTATTCGTGCTGAGATTTCGTCAGAGATCAACCCGTTGGTACTGGCTGATGGTACTTCCCAAATATGTGAAGCGGTCAACGTGCTCTACCACTTCACTTCCTATTTTTAAACTAGGCGTCGATGTAGTCCAGTCCTGTAACATCATCTTGCATTTGGCAGGAGCGAATCGCATGCCAAACATTCGTAGATTGCGGCTCAAGGTGTTCAGAAGACTGCATTTCGTCAGCGTCTTCGCCTAGAAGGACTATATCGTCTGCATATTCTAAGTCAACGAGATTATTCCCTGGTAGCAAGTCAATCCCTGAGTCGCTGAAGTCACTTAGGGTTAAGTCCATTAACACATCTATGATGAAGTTGAATAGAAAAGGGGATGATGGGCATCCTTGACGGACGCCACTGGTCGTCACCAGTTCAGATGACAGCTCGCCGTAAGCCTTCACCTGGCTGAATGAGTACGAGTAGAGTGCCTTAATGAGTGCAATATATTTTCTCGGAATTCCCTTTACAGCCAAGCATCTCCAGAGAACTTCTCGATCGACAGAGTCGAATTCCGCCTTTAGGTCAAGAAATATAATGACTGTTGGACGCCGGTAGGAATCCCTATGTTCTAGAATCTGTCGGTGGGTGAAGATATTATCAATACACCCTCTTCCTGGTCTAAAGCCTGCCTGGCTCTCTCGTGTTTGTGCCTCCCGAGCACCACTCAGTCTACGCATGATTATTGAGCCTAAGACTTTAGATACTATATTAGTCAAGCTAGTCCCTCTGTGATTATCACAGGAAGACTTGTCTCCCTTCTTGTATATAGGGATAATCAGTGACTTACACCAACCCGATGGGACTTCTGATTCCCAGACGCTGCCTAGTACCTCAGTTAATGCAGACAGTGAACTGTCTCCACCGTACTTAAATACCTCTGGAGTCATTCCATCAGGTCCCGCTGCTTTGCCTAGTTTCAGATTGGTGACAGCTTTAGTAACCTCAGTTAGAGATGGAGGACCTGTGTTTGTATCCCATTCAGGGAGGTGTTGGATGTTCGGAAGGTTGAGCGTGGCTGTAGGCCAATTAAACTGCTCCTCATAATGCTCTTTCCAGCAATCCAGTCGTCTATCCTGGGAGCTAATTATAATGCCATTTTTTTCCGATATTGTTTCACTAATGATTTGTCTTCTCCCACCCGTTTCGCTGATGAGTCTAAATAGTTGCCTGGTGTTGCCTATCCTTGAAGCTTTCTCCATCTCTTTCGCTTTTGCCACCCACCACTGTTCACGGTCCTTGCGGAGACTTTTCGTAAGTTTCCTCTTGTGCAGCTTTCGCTGTCTGGATTCAACATAGAACTTGTCACCGAAGTGCACCAGTTCGAGTTGCCACGTTCCAAATAGCACACAGAGGTAGACAAGAAGATGAGTGAAGAGAATCAATAGAGTTTGACAAGTATAAGAGTGAAACAGAATGGGTAATGGTAGAAAGGAATATGAAAGATTACAGAGACTGAATACATCTGCGCTGGCCATTGACAACGATTTTGAGCCATGTCACCTATTGTCTCCAGCCATTGATTCCTAGAGTCCCGAGGGCCCCAACCCGGAAGTCTGCATCTCCCTACCTGACTCAGTTTAACTGTCAAGGATTTCATGGATTGATGAGGCCATGTTTTTGTTTGGCCACCACTGGCTCTTTTCCAACCTGCACCTATATCAGCTAGTAATGCCCGTCGGGGGAGGCGGTGGTTAGGCATGCGCAGCACGTGACCTAGCCATCTTAGTCTATGTAACTTTATAGCCTCGTCGATTGATTTTCCCTCTTTGCCCAACACTCTACGCCTAACGTCAACATTACTTACCTTACTAAACCACCTAACGTGAGACAGAGATCGCAGACATCTATGATCGAAAGCAGTCAACCTTTTCATGTCTTCAACGCGTATTGGCCATGTTTCAGAGCCATAGAGAAGGACGGAGCGAACTGATGAGCAGTACACACGTCCCTTGGTTGATAACCGGATGTCACGCCTACGCCAGAGATGGTGTAAGTCAGCGAAAGCAGCTCGAGCTTTTCGGATCCGTGCTGAGATTTCATCGCCAATCAGTCCGTTGGTGCTAATACAACTTCCCAAATAGGTGAAGTGGTCAACATGTTCTATCACTTCACTCCCTATCACTAAGTTAGGGTTGACGTGTCCAGTCCTGTAGCAGCATCTTACATTTTGTAGGGGCGAATCGCATGCCAAACATACGAAGATTGCTGCTCAAGGTGTTCAGAAGACTCTGCATTTTGTCAGCATCCTCCCCTAACAGGACTATGTCATCTGCATATTCTAAGTCCATAAGATTATTCCCTGGTAACAAGTCGATTCCTAAGTCTTACGTTCAGTTAAGGATACTTCCATCAGCATATCTATGATGAAGTTAAACAGAAATGGGGAAAGTGGACATCCCTGTCGGACACCACTGGTTGTTACCAATTCAGATGACAATTCCCCATAAGCCCTTACACGACTACGTGAGTTTGAATAGAGTGCCTTGATTAGTGCAATGTACTTTCTTGGCACTCCCTTCACAGTCAGACATTGCCATAGTACCTTTCGATCCACGGAGTCGAAGGCCGCCTTCAAGTCAAGAAATATGACAATTGTTGGACGCCGAAAAGTGTGTCTATGTTCTAGAATCTGTCGAAGAGTGAAGATATGATCTATGCACCCTCTACCTGGTCTAAAGCCTGCTTGATTTTCCCTTGTCTGTTCCTCCCGAGTTCTGCTTAGTCTATGCATGATTACTGAGCCTAGGATTTTAGAGACTATGTTCGTTAGGCTGATCCCCCTATGATTATCACACGAGGACTTGTTTCCCTTCTTGAATATCGGTATAATAAGTGACTTACCCCAGTCTGATGGCACTGTCTCTGATTCCCAGACTTTGCCTAGTACCTCAGTTAATCTACAAACTAGTATGTCACCCCCATATTTAAACACCTCCGGAATAATTCCGTCGGGTCCTGCCGCTTTGCCTCGTTTCAAATTACTGATAGCTTTTGTGACCTCACTACAGACGGCGGACCAGTGTCTATATCCCATTCGGGTGTGGTGGATGGCGGGGAGGTTCAGTGTGGCTGTAGGCAAGTTAAATTGTTCCTCAAAGTGTTCTTTCCAGCGTTCAAGGCGTCTATCCTGAGAGCTAATTAAGGAGCCATTTTTCTCAGAAATAGTCTCACTTATGAATTGCCTTCTCCCACCCGTTTCCTGATGAGTCTAAAGAGTTGCCTAGTGTTGCCTATCGCCGATGCTTTTTCCATCTCTTTCGCCTTTGTCACCCACCACTGTTCACGGTCCTTGCGGAGACTTTTAGTAAGTTTCCTTTTGTGCAGCTTTCGCTCCTCATTGAATTCGGAGCTCGCCGGAATAAGTCTTCTAGCATCTATCAGTTCGGATGAGGCAGTCGAAATCCAGTGGTTTTTACTCACCTTTGGATTTGCCTTATTCACAGCTTTTACAGCTGTATCTATAGCTGACTGAATATTCTTCCAGGCTTCTCCAGGGTGAGCACAGCTGTCGAATTCAGATATGCGTTTAGCTAGTTCTTCCTCAAATAGGGATTTAGTTTCCTGATCGAGCTGGGGACGTGATGGTTTTACCGCCAGCTGTTTCCTACGTCCGTTCAGTCGTAAGCACACACGAGCCCGGACCAGTGCGTGATCGGTATCTACACACGTGTTCCAGAAGGAGCGACAATCTCCTACCGACCCACGCCAACGATAGCTTATTGCTATGTGGTCTATTTGTGTCCAGCGTTGGTTTGATGATGGGGGTCGCCAGGTTAAACAGTGTCTCTCCTTGTGTTTAAAGTTAGTGCTTACAAGAAACAAATGATTATCTGAACAGAACTGTAGGAGACGGTCACCGTTGTCGGTTCGCTGGCACGGAACTCCATAGGTGCCACCGACATCCTTCTCAGATTGACACAATTTCCCTACTTGAGCGTTAAAGTCACCAGCTAGAACGACTATATCTGAGCGTTTAGCCTTTCTCACCAAACTAGACAGCTTTTGGTAGAACTCATCCTTCGTTTCATCCGAACTGCAGTCAGTGGGGGCGTAGGCGGAGATTACGAAAAGGCATCGGCGAGTAGTGCAGTCCTTTCTCCTTCTTACTGATCCGTTCAGACGGACAGCACACATTCGGCTATCTACTGGGATCCAGTCAAGCAATGTCTTTTCTGCCCTAGTACTCAAAGCTATCCCTACGCCAGCTAATCCTCGTGAACTAGCTGTGGCATCTCCTGACACCCTCAAGGTGAATTTTGAAGATTCATCCTGTTGGCCAGGTGGGGTTAGGTGAATAACCACACTTGGGTCTTGTATGCGTGTTTCTGAAACACAACATACATCAATGGCTCGGGATGCCAGGGTCTTAGCTAGTGATGCTTGTTGTCCTATTTGGCAAAGTGTCCTAACATTAAATGCTCCTATATGAAATTGGTGGCGTGGCTTTAGGAGACTATCCGTGGTGGTTTTTTGGCTTCGTCGTTTTTAGTGGACACAGAGTGAAGAGGGAGTGAGGAGCCATCAAGTAGAGGAGTTGCATCAGTGGAAGGAAGGCAAGGTAATAGAGATGAAGATGAAGACAAAGATAAGTGAGGATTAGAGAGGTTTTGTGTGCATTTCGGATTGTGAGGGCGATTGTTACTTCCCGGCTGCCCACACCGTGGAAGTTGGTTGCGTGACCGCAGAGCCCAGGGGACAACTGCTTGAGGCCGGTCACACGCGGCCTGTTTTTGTTTGTTCTTTTTGTTTGGTGTGCCTCAGTAGCATACTTATCACTCCTGCCCTGTGACACGGCAGCAGGAAGCGCGGTCGTTGTTAATCCGGGCCACGGCCGATCCGGCATGAAATTTTGTGAATTTGTTTGGATCATGGTATTGGATGGGTAGCTGCTTTTTGTTTAACCGCTATCCAAACAACCTGCCTGGCATGGTAGAACCTCAAGAGACATAAGTCTCAGCCAGTATAGCTTGATTAGGTCATTGCGGTGTTCAAGCCCGACCACCACGTCAAGGTAGCAGCTTTCGGTCGGGATATAATATAATATAACATGTGAGAAGGTACATTTCATCAAATTAAAGTTGAGAGCATTTCAGATTATCGACGTCACCATTTTCAATATAAGAGTCTACCAGTACAGGAATAAACAGGTGGCCTAATTGATTGGAAGCGACTAAAATATACTAATCAATATTTTAAACCAGTAGTTGGACGGTTCATCTTCGAGTCGGACGACTATCAAATTTCACCATTCTTTTCTTACTTTGTTCATTGCTTTATAGCCAACCAATCATGTTGTTTTTATCATTGCGCAAGCCAAATTTTAATACGGTTAAAAATATACAAGAATTTGACTGACTGATTCGTTTCAACATAAAACTTTCCACAGATGTGCACCAATTTGAGTTGACACACTTTCCCTCCAACTACCACACAAACCAACAGAACACAGTAAAAAGAGATTCAAAGGACACATAGATAATAAACAGAAGTGTGAGCGAGCGAGTGAGTGAGGGGAAAAGATTAGTAAGTAATGTGGAAGAAAAACAGAGTTCTATTGCATATGACAAATCACAACGAGTGAATGCATCTGAGCCAGCGACTGACAATGACAATTCTGAGCCATATCACCATGAATTGTCTACACCCTTCATTGGTTCTTACCATCCCGAGGACGTCAACCAGTCAGTAAGTTCACACCTACCTCTCTACGTGGCTGGCTGACTCAAACTAACTATTATGAATTTCATTGACTGATGAAGACATCTTGGTTTCACTATGACCGCCACTGGTTCTTGCCAACCTCACCGATCCTATGTCAGCTAACATTACCCATCGGGGAAGGCGATGGCATACGTGACACATGTCGTAACCGTTTCAATCGATGCAGCTTCACAACCTCGTTTATTGATTTCCCCTTCCTACACAGCGCTCTACCGAGGCGTAACCTCATTAATGCTGACCATTTTAAACCACTTCATACGAGAGATAGAATGAATACACCTATGACCAAAAGCCTTTTCATGTCTTCTACTCTCAATAGCCATGTCTCACAGCCATGAAAGAGGTCGGAGCGGACTAGTGAGCAGTACACACGCCCTTTGGTCGACAGCTAGTCGCATATCACGTCTACTAGACCAGAGACGGCGTAAACTGGCGTATGCGAAACTAGCCCTCTGTATCCGTGCTGAGATTTCATCAGAGATCAACCCGTTGGCATTGGCTGATGGTACTTCCCAAATATGTGAAGCGGTCAACGTGCTCTACCACTTCCTATTTCTAAACTAGGAGTCAGTGTAATCCAGTCCTGTAACATCATGTTGCATTTGGCAGGAGCGAATTGCATGCCAAACATTCGTAGATTGCAGCCTGTCAAGGTGTTCAGAAGACTGCATTTTGTCAGCGTCCTCGCCTCAACAGAATAGTAATAATGCTAATAACCAGAGTAGTGAAAAACAGTTTCCCCATCAAATTTACGTTTATTTTTTTTCTAAGCACAACACTACACAAATCTATCCACCAAAACTATTTTACCAAAATATATAAAATATAAATATAAAGAAGCGAATTTTAAAAAAACCACTCGATGACTTCTTGTCATCAAAAGTAAGAAAGAACCTTGTACGTTTTTGCACATATACCAACCAACACGTTATTAAGCCTACTACAATTACATTCACAAAAGAAAGCTGAAAAAAGAGTGACAACATTAACTCAACTCAATAAAAAGGAATGTGGTGTGGTGACAAGTGAATCTTTCTAAACTTACTCGCCCGCCAATCGCCAACCCTTTCATGTGATGAATACACTTCAAATGAAGCAGAAGAAGATCTTCAAAACAGGAGACAAAATCAAAAGGCGTTTACAAAAAAAGCGCACTTGACGATGATAATATATATATATATATATATATATATATATATATGCAGAATGCTTAGAAGGAAGGTGTACTTCCGCTAAGTTTGAGATCAGCATAAAAATAATGAAATCAATAAAAATCAAAAAGAAAGCACCAAAGAAAGACAAAATCTGAAGACACTGTTGTTGCCCTACTTGTTGTCATTATTGTAAGCAAAAACAACAACAACAAAAATAGAAACTAGAGATCGTAATGAAATAAAATACCCTTTGGATAATATGAAATTAATTAGGGGGACGGGTGGGGGGTTAAAAATAAAAGCAAACTATTAAAAATTAAAAAATAATTAAGTCATTAAATTAACTAATTAGAGTAAATTGTGGTGAATTGTAGGCAAATAAATATCACAGCTGTGTTTGGCGGGGGGGGGGGTTTAGTCAAAGATGTATACCCCATATGCGTCTATATGCTTCTCCTTTCACAAGAAGTTTGTCGCTCCCCTAGTCTGCACAACTGGACTAGCATTACCCGCATTATCAGTATTAACCATCATCATCATATTAGTGTTTCTTTGGCTTTCATCAATTTCATCTTGTTCATGTATATTAGTTATTTCATGTCGGTGTTGTTGGTGTTGGTGTTCGTGTTGTTGCAGCTGTTGCAGTTGCTGCTCATCCTCTTCCATGTGTGCACAATATGAATAAATACCATAGAGTACACGTAGGATAGCACTTGTATCACCGGCTACAATATCTTCAGGTTTTGCTGGTGGTTCAATCATTCCAGCGGCTTGAATTAATTCAAAGCCTAGTTTAACATTTGATAAACACATCTCTTCTGTTGTCGGTGTTGGATGATAAGCATAAAATGGTACAAAATAACCTTCAATAAGACCCATTAACAGGATAAGTAATACTCCGTCTCTAAACTAAAGCAAGAAGATAGGAAGATAAGAAAAAGCAAGAAACAAATACAATGAGTATATATATTTACAATAATTAATTGATTGATTCGGTCTCAATTATTAGACCTCATCATGGACAAATATAACAGTTAGAGAGATTACCGAATACTAGGGAAGCACTGGACAACTACTTCATTCTATTTTAGGACTCCGTAGCAGTGTACGCCACGACCGCACCAGGGGTCGAACTGACTGACTCACTGGTTTCAACATAGAACTCTCCACAGATGTGCACCAGTTCCAGTTCACACACTCTCCCTCAATGTTACCACACACATACCAAGAGAACACAGTAAACAGAGATTCAAAGGACACATAGATAATAAACAGAAGTGTGAGCGAGCGAGTGAGTGAGGGGAAAAGATTAGTAAGTAATGTGGAAGAAAAACAGAGTTCTATTGCATATGACAAATCACAACGAGTGAATGCATCTGAGCCAGCGACTGACAATGACAATTCTGAGCCATATCACCATGAATTGTCTACACCCTTCATTGGTTCTTACCATCCCGAGGACGTCAATCAGTCAGTAAGTTCACACCTACCTCTCTACGTGACTGACTGGCTGACTAAAACTAACTGTTGTGGATTTCATTGACTGATGAAGACATGTTGATATTGGTTTGACCACCCTTAGCTCTTTTTCCACCTCACCGATCCTATGTCAGCTAGCATTTCCCGTCGAGGATAGCGATGGTTAGGCACAGAATGTCGTAACCATCTCAATCGACGTAACTTCGCAACTTCACTGATTGGTTTTCCCTCCTTACATAGCACTCGACAGAGGCGCAACCCCAATAATACTCACCCTATTGTACCACATAACGTTTCAGATAGAGCGTAGGGATCGAATCCGGCATCCAGACCACCAAGCTTGTCGGTTATGCGAACACTTACTTCGATAGGAATTCCATAACGTGTGAATTCTAGCCTTCTTAACTCGTGATATACCGGTACCCTCACCAATGACTAAGATGAGCACAATTCAACGACCTTAGGTCTCAAAACCTTAAGGTCTCGGGGTTCGATCTATGGTGAAGTTGTGGGTGCACACACTGATGAAGAGTCCCAAAGTGGGACGAAACGGCTTTGTCCAGTACTTCCTAGTTTTCAATGATCTCTCTAGCGATATATTGGTCTGTGACGGAAATTAAGTTAATTCAAATCCTTACAAATCCTATAATCTAAATACTTGATTGGTTAGTAATAGATAAAGTTAAGTGTATTCTTAAAAGAACGTTTAGAAGACCCCCACACGTTAACGAAGGGTATGCAGCATATTCTTCCAACAAGGGAAAAATAACTGTCACACAAGAGTGTATATGGAAAAGTGTCAATCAATTGTACAGTACAGTATAGTAGTCTAAGAAAATAACTAACACACATGAACCAATAAGATAAGATAACCAAGTTTTCTTAGTACCAACTGGCTTCTGATTGGCTGCAGTGTCATTTGACAAGGTGATACGAAGTAAATCGAATATCATCTCTCATCTCGGCATCAGTTTCTCTTCAGATCTCTGTTAGTCGTCTCATATCCTGTTGATTTCTAAGGAGACTTCTCGTTTGTCTTATTGCATCAAAAAGTTGAAACTTTCTGTCAGCGTAAGTTAACCTCTTCTCTAACAAATTTATTAATTAATGTATTTTGTCCATTTTCCTTCATCATTCGCCACTATTCTCCTCTGGACTTCTAAAAAAAGACTTTGTCATATCAAGTAGAACACTGAAGGCTGTAAGTAGAGTTAGTGGTGTACCTCTGACTCAGATGACTGACATTACTGTCAATATGGACTTCAATTCTTGCGAGCATTTATTATTATATTATTGTTTCCTTTAATTTCTAGAGGAACATAGGGCTTCAGCCGCGCGTCTACATTGCGTTCGATTCTCTGCTAGAGTTTTCACCTGACCTCAAGTCTGCCCACGTGCTTTCATCTCCCTTCACATGATTTCCTCCAAGTCACCTCCATTATTATTATTTTTATTATTGTTCCCTTGGGTTCCTAGTGGAACATAGGGCTTCAACTCCACGTCTCCACTTGCCACTTCTGTCTTCCTTCTGCTGTACTTTTCACCTGCATCCATGTTATTCCATACTGTTTCAACTCCTCTTAACACGATCTCCTACATGTCACCCTTGGACGTCCCACTCGCCTCTTCCCTTTCGGGTTCCACTCGACGGCCTCACGGGCGATGTTACCAACCAGCCTCCCCAACGAGTGCCCAATCCATCTTCACTTTCTCCTGCATATTTGTTGGTTGGTGATTGGTTCTTGTTTTGTCTGTTTTTTCCCATAGTTTCTTGTTGGTGATTCTTTCCGGCCCGGCCATCTAATCTTCAGTATAGAGCGAAGACAGTTGTTGGTTGATAAAGGTCTGAAACAGGCTGTTGGAAATATTCTTTGTGACCCACCCGCCAACTTTCTGATTCGTATAGAAGAACTGACTGACTTGACTTTTGTATTGAAAATCCAACCGAATTTTTTTGTTGATGCTGGCTGAGTGACGAAGATTTCCAGATTGGTTTCAGGTTGATGAATGTGTGTTTCTCGCCTTCCCGATTATCGCTCGATTTGACATCCTCCTCCGTTCCTCCTGTAGTTGAGACAATGCTCCCTAGATAAGTGAATGAAGTAACCCCTTTCAAATCGATTCCGTTGATGGTGATTGGTGCTGGATGTTGCTGCTGTTATTGTTGTTGTTGGTTGGGTATTTTCATAACCACCGTCTTGTCTATGTTTACCTGGAGTCCTGTCTTCGCCGGCTGCTTTTTAGACCAGTTTGTCGGTCGGTATTCGCTTGCAAGTCTTCGATTTTGTGTGACATCAAGCATAAATCATCCACGCGGGAAATCCAGGTCTTCTAGGTTCTTCACGTCGTTCCAGGATATCCCTGTCTTCTTGTTTCCCACTCACTGTCTGACACATAATCGAGTCCACTACAATTAGGAATATCATCGGTGATAATAAGCACTCCCATGCTGACGACCAACTCACCACTTCCCTCTCGGGTTCCACTAGAGCGATGGCTTGTCTAGTGATGTCCCTTGATGGTATCTTCAGAGTATGGCCAGCCAATCTACATCCATTTCTTTCTGCCTACTTGTTGCACAATCGGTTTCTGGTTGGTTTGCTCCCAGAGATCTCTACTGCTGATCTTTCCTGGCCATCTGATCTTGAGTATTGAGCGAAGGCAGCTAATGATGAAAGTCTGTAGTTTGTTTGGAGTCGCCTTTATGATGCGCTGGTCAAGTTTCTGATCCGTACAGTGAGTAGCCCTGACTGACTTCACATTGCAGTTGAAAATCCAGATCTTATTTTTGATGGTGAGTGATGTTGACCTCCACACAGACTTGAGAGTAATAAAAGCTTGTCTTGCTTTCCCGTTTCTGGCTTTGATATCCTCGTCGCTTCCATCTTCCTGTAGTTGAAACGATGCTTCCCAGGTAGGTCGGTAGGTAGAGGTTGTTTCTTTCAGGTTCCTCCCATTTATGATGGCTGATTGTTGTCTGTTGTTGTTGCTGTTGATGTTGTTGGCCAGGAATCATCATCACGTCTGTTTTCTCTATGTTCACCTGAAGTGATGTCCTATTTTTGATGCTTCTTATATCGCCAACTTGTTGCTTTACACTCGCATATCTTCCAGTTTGTGGGAAATCAGTTTTTCCTGCGAGCATTTGGCTAAAGCTATCTAGCCTGATAGTGGACATCCTCCTCATTATTAACTTTTACCTTGCTTATCCTCGGTTAAAACCGGGAGAAACTTCATAAGAATTTACGCTGGTATAACTAAATATTAAAATTCTATCATACCACAATATTTAGCAGCGGGGTTGCATGAAGAGAGAATCGGCTGTCAGAAAAGAACCTATAAACTTTTTAAATCAGTAACTGTGAACTGAAAAGTATAACCAAAGATTATTATTATTGTTATTATTGCATGTATTATCTATGACATTATCTACTTATACTTCATTATGTTTCCAAAAACATTCTGCTTATAGTGGTTTCTTTATTAGTATCATTTTTATTGTTATTAATTATTTTAAATTTTATGTATGTACACATCTGTAAAAAAGTAGCTAAATTGTTGCAATTTGTATAAAAAGAACGCTGAAAGTTCTATTCTTTATGATTACAATTATATGAATTTGCATCAACCAGTTGGAAAGTAAATGTATCCTATTTTTTTCCTTCACGTTCCCCAGTGGAACATAGGGCTTCAAGCTAGAGGCCTGAACTTTCTGTAGCAGTGTTTATTTTACAGGATGGGGTTGCTAGCCTAATGCCCAACCTTTCCTCTTTACCAGCTTTTATTTCTGGCTTAGCGAGGTAAAACAAGGTGCGTCGGTGGCCGGGAATCGAACCCCGGAACATGTGCATGGTCGGCGAGCGTCCTAACCGCTGTGCCACCGACACACCAAATGTATCCTATCACCGTTCAGGAAATCTCTCACACCGCAATAAAAAGAGAAGCCATAAACTTGTTCATGAAGGAAAAATCAATTCTGATACATGTTTGCCTAGTAGGTTGGATTGTGTATAGATACTCTGGATGTGTGTGTGACCCGCACTAACGAGATGTCTTTTATATAGTTCTCCAAATAAAAGTTGAATACGTGATAAAAATACTAACCAAAAGTTAACGTTTTACAGTACATCTAATAATTACCAAATTTGATATAATCCAACCTCCAAAGTGAGAATGAAAACTTACATCTTTGGAGAGATCAGTCACATGGAAGCCAACTTGTTCTAAATACGCATTGATAAAGGCCACGACAGCCTGTAAAACCATATGATGTTCAGAGATGGCATCGAGTGGATTGCCAGCTTCATATAAGAATAGAAAAAAAAAACATACATTGTACTGCAAACGAATAAATGTATATCGCATGAATGCGAAGTGTAATTAAAGAAGGAAAGAGTGAATTTTCGTATTCTACCCCTTAAGATTGAACAGATGGGACAATGTGGATTATGGGCATAAGCACTTAAATAACTTCATACAGTAAGTTCAAGTTTCAGACAGTACTCCCCTTGAAACAGTGAAGATTTGGAGCTCAAGTGGATGTCTTAAGGTAGGTTGGTTGGTTTTAATTCTACAGATTTTATTATCATTTTGGACAACAACTTCACCGGTAATTTCAATGTGAAGTAAACTTTAGAAATTCCTTGTGACTGACACATTTGTCACTTCCCATGACCTTCACTATGAATTGTTCATTATTTTATCTTATTTATTTTTGATTACAGCTTGATTCCACACTGTATTTTTGGTAAAAGTATGGAATTTTCAGGATGGATATCGGTAGCCCAAATTCTCCAGGCCTACCATAGATATCAGGTGTGCGTCGGCAGGGGATCGAACCTCGGACCATGTGCATGGTCGGCGAGAGTCCTAACCACTGTCTCCGGAGATCCCGTTGTGATTGTATCCAGTTGTTTTGACAGTGAACCTCTGATTCATCTGAAAGTTGACTTTTTAATCGTGTGACCTATTCTTCTATTGATCGATGAATTCGATCCATATCCATAGGTCTATGGAATTGAGAATTTATCTGAGTACCAAGCCTTCAGTTTCGAAATTTTCTGCACTCAGTATAAATGACAAGATTCGGACTTTCAACACAAGTGTGAAGTCAATCAGTTCTTCTATATGGGTCAGAAACTTGACACGCGTGTCATGAATAGCATTTCCAACAGGGTACCTTTGCTGGCTCCATACTGAAGATCAAATGGTTGGCCAGAAAGAATCAGCGACAAGAAACTACGGGAACAAACTAACCAAGAGTCGATTACTCAATAAATAAATATGCAGAAGAAAATGGAGATGGATTAGACAGTGGAATGATGTCGCGCACCAGAAACACTCTCGAGCGGAACCCGAATCGGAGACAAAAGGCTGGTCCAAGGGTTACATGGAGGAGACCTTGTGAGGAGATGGGAGATTATGGGCAACTGTGGGCCCGGCTAAAGAGAACAGCAGAAAATAGAACAAAGTGAAGGCGTGTTATTGAAGCCCTATATTTCAATAGCAACCCAGAGGAATAATAATGTTTTTTGAACCACTTAAGAGATGTGGTAAACACATTCATCTGGTTTACTCACCGTCCCTATTAAATGAGGAGATGCACTCCAGACAGTTCCCTTAGAATCACTTTAAATTTGACAGCTGCCAGCCGCATGCCAAATATACCCATCATATTTTCGCTCAGGGTGTTCAAGAGATTCTGTATGCTGTCGGGGTATTCCAAATCAAAACGTTGAAAATAAACAGGTTCACATCTTTGAAATTGAATCTTAATTCCCCAATACCCGTTCTTTTAAGGTAGACAGATAATCATTTACCGACAAATTAAAAGTCGCCACCACAAGATCAGCTACAATCAGGAAAGTTATTCCGAATCATCTCAGAATTCAACAGTGATAGTCGAAACCGTTTCCAGTTGGTTCTGTTCAAATAAATGCACGTATTCTATTATAGGTCAGGGCATAACTCCATGTATTAGCTCTAGAACTACTACGGTTCTGTAACTACTATAATAGGCCATTCGTAATTTCACTGTTTTAAGGCATGTAATTAGCCTATGTATGGTTTAGTCCCTGATATCGGTATATGACTGTTGGCAGGACCAACCAGTTTATTTATAGAATGACGTACCTAATGGTTTGGTAATTATACACTGATTTTAGGAAGAAACGAACACTCATTTTAGCCTTCTAGAAGACCTCAATTGCTGTGCAACAACTCGATTGCCTTTTATCCCAGATGGACCATTCACACCGTTTATATATATATATATATATGCGTTGGTGGTTTAGCGGTAGGACACTCGCCAACCATGCGCACTTGGTCTGGAGCTCGATCCCTGACTGACGCACTTCTAGACTTTGGTAAGCCGGTAATAAGGCCGGTAAAGAAGGAAGGTTGGGCATGAGGCTAGCAACCCCATCCAGTAAAAAATGAAACCACTGCTACCGAGAATTCAAAGCTTCAGCTTGAAGTTATATATATATATATATATATATATATATATATATATATATAATACTGCACTGACAAGCATACACAGCATCGGTCCAGTGACACAGACCGCTAGGAACGAAGCTATTGTGGCGTGATGCAGATTGATAAGCGGTCAAAATTGAAATCAACATTCTAATTCAACGACTGACTACAGAGGTAGAAGTGTCTACTCTCCTCAAATCTGGATTTATTTTACGTTGTGGAAATGAAATAACCTCATTGGACTTATTAACCTTGAGTCAGTCGTCAACCAATCGCAACAATTTATTCTCCTCTCACCCGGTCGAACATTAATGCGGCTAAGAATGTACAAATATGATGCTTTTCCTTATTAAAAAAGGTCCGTTACCCAGTACGTTACCTTCTCCCGTTACACTAGTATCTCAACAATTTTAAGTGAAATCGTTCACCCTGCAAACCAATTTAGTATTTATTGTTATTATTATTTTATTCCCTTACGTTCCGAGTGGAACTTAGAACTTCAAGTTAAAGCTTTGAATTCTCGGTAGCAGTGGGTTTTTTTTATTTTTACAGGGTAGGGTTGCTAGCCTCACGCCCAACCTTCTTTCTTTACCAACCTTACTACCGGCTTACCGAAGTATAGGAGTGCGTTGCCCAAGGATCGAATCCCGAACGACCTGTCTGGTTGGTCAGATTCTACCGCTGAACCACTAACGCACAATTTAGTACACAAAAGCCTATTAATACACCTACCAAGATTTACACAACTCATTCACAATCATATTAGCGAGCTTTGAGTATGCTAAGACTCTAGGCTATAGACATCAACAAAGATTATCCTATAGAAATAACAACATCCATAGTAACGTTCACATAAGACATAAGTGATAAAGGACACGTTAACAAGAAAACCGGACTCGTTCTTTAAAACCGGAATAATTATAATTACACACGAAACAAAAAAAACAAAACAACTAACCCGGTAGTTTTTCAGTAAACTCCGTGATGTATTCTCTTTCATAACGATACTCCAATTTACCGTTTAATTTACGAGCTATGATAACAGTAAGGAAAATACCCGGTTGAAATCGCATTTGTGGTTCAAACTGACGAGCAATAGCAACCAGTAGACGTAGAATAGCGACTAAATCCTTCTGATGAATACGTTCAGCAGTCCATCGTTGACTAGCCCAACTTTCAGAAACATGAAGTATCTCATTGACTGTTTGTAAAACACCCTAATAGGGGAAAAAAAAGGTTAAGTTGAATACTATTTTTTTTATTTTGCATTTTACACGTAAACGTTGAAGTTGTCCAATTTCGGATTGCGTTAATTCAGGGTGATCTAATTTTATCTTGGCTAATTTTTCAACTAATTTTTGTAAAAGTTGACCATCATATAAGTCTTCTTGTATATCTCTGACAAGAATACGTTGTTCCGAGAGTTCATTATTAATCCATGTTAATAATTTTTCCAATAGATTTTTAACACTTTCAGAATTCTATAAACACAATAAAATTTATTTTTTTTAAATAACGGCAGCATGTATACTTGAGAGGATTTTTCAATAAATGAACGTTCTTGTCCTTCTTCTAATTGATATTGTTTAGGATCATCTGTAGACAATGCACTGACTGCCATTTCAATCGCTTGACGACTTTCTTTAGTCAATTCTTCAACTTCTAAACGAGCTTTTTTCTTTCGTTTAAATGTATCCAATTTTGAAAGAATAGAATCATGACTTTTTAATCCTGCCAAGGTGGTCATTTTGAAAGGGGGTTAGGTGTACTGAAAAGAAACAAAATAAAAAGATGAACCACTTAGACAAATTTGGTTAAAAAAAAAAGAAGTGAAAAGATTATTTACGCTAATATGAAATTTGAAAAATGAAGAACACAGTTTCGGTTCTAGTAAAATCAGTCAGTCTGTCTGTCCGTCTGTTTTCGACATAGAACTTTGCACATATGCACGGCAGTTCAAGTCGCCACACTCCACTCCACGTAGCACACAAAGCAACAGAGTAAAGTAGAAGAAATGCATAATAGAGACAGTAAACAGAGGTGTGAAACAAAGGAATAGTAATAACGAAGAACAATTTAGTTTCATTGATAATCATAAGTCACAAGGAGTGGATGCATCTGCACTAGCCATTGGGAACGATTTTGACCCCCAACCAGTCAGGAAGTCTACACCTACCCATATCGCTGGTTGGCTTAAACTAACTGTTGTGCATTTCATTGACTGGTATCATGTTTTGGTTTGACCGCCACTGGCTAGCTCTTTTCCAGCCTGATCCATGATGTGTCAACTAACATTGCCCGTCGATGAAGGCGATGACTAGGCATAGGTAACACATGTCCTAACCATCTCAGTCGATGTAATTTCACAGCCTCATCGATTGATTTCTCTCCTCTTATCTAGCACTCGACGCCTAACCTCAATATTGCTCACCCTATTACACCACTGCACACGGGAAATACAACGCAGGCACCTATGATAAAAGACAGCTAGCCTGCCTTTTCATGTCTTCCACTCTCAACGGCCAAGTTTCACTCACAGCCATAGAGGAGGATGGAGCGGACTGATGAGCAGTACACACGCCCTTTGGTCGATAGCCAACTGGAATATGCGAAACTATTCCTCGGTATCCGTGCTGAGATTTCGTCAGAGATCAACCCGTTGGCATTGGCCGATGGTAAATCCCAAATAAGTGAAGCGGTCAACGTGCTCTACCACTTCCCTTCCTATTCCTAAACTAGGAGTCAGTGTGGTCCACTCCTGTAACATCATCTTACATTTGGCGGGAGCGAATTGCATGCCAAACATCCGTAGATTGCAACCTGTCAAGGTGTTTAGAAGACTCTGCACTTTGTCAGCGTCAACGCCAAGAAAGACAGTAAAATCAGCAAAGTAAAGTAGTTACCTGGTACAGATTCTGTACAACGCTACGAAGAGTTGTCCCGAGTAAATTATATGAGACTGGATTAAATTCTTAAATTAACTGGCTGCAATTAAAAACGCTAAAGGCATTTAGAAACATCCCACTTTCATTCTATTGTCACATAAGTCAAAGGTTTCAAAATGGTGGAAACCTTAGTAAAGTGGTAGAGCGTGTTGACAACTTACTTTACTTATTTTGGAAGGTACATCAATCAACGCCAACGGGTTGGTCGCTGAAGGCGCGTTTGGCATTTGCCAACTTGCGTCACCTTTGGCTTAGTAAACGTGATATCCGGCTGGCTATCGACCAACGGACTACTGTGTCTGTCTGGATTCAACATAGAACTTGTCACCGAAGTGCAGCACTTCGAGTTGCCACGTTCCAAATGGCACACAGAGGTAGACAGGAAGATGAGTGAAGAGAATCAATACAGTCTGACAAGTATAAGAGTGAAACAGAATGGGTAATCGTAGAAAGGAATGTGAAAGATTACAGAGACTGAATATGCATCTGCGCCATTGACAACGATTTTGAGCCATGTCACCTATTGTCTCCAGCCATTGATTCCTAGAGTCCCGAGGCCCCCAACCCGGAAGTCTGCATCTCCCTACCTGACCGACTCAGTTTAACTGTCAAGGATTTAATAGATTGATGAGGCCATGTTTTTGTTTGGCCACCACTTACTCTTTTCCAACCTCCACCTATATCAGTTAGTAATGCTCGTCGGGGGAGGCGATGGTTAGGCATGCGCAGCACGTGACCTAGCCATCTCAATCTATGTAACTTTATAGCCTCGTCGATTGATTTTCCCTCTTTGCCTGCCCAACACTACGCCTAACGTCAACATTACTTACCTTACTATACCACCTAACATGAGAAAGAGATTGTAGACATCTATGATCAAAAACAGTCAACCTTTTCATGTCTTCAACTCGTATTGGCCATGTTTCAGAGCCATAGACAAGGACGGAGCCTCTTTCCTTCCTTACCAATCTGAAGGTAGCGTACAAGATGATTCTGCGCCTAATATTCAAAATCCAATCATCTGCTTCCAAACTTTTGAAATAAGTATTATGGGTTTTTGTGCGTGTTTGGATTATTTGCAACGTAAATTTTGTCACTAACCGACGTTTGGAAAGACAATTAGCAAAATCTATACTGAAATTAATTCAAATCTTTACAAAGGCCGATAAACTAAATGTTAAATTGCAACTTATTGGTGGCAACTGGATGTATGACCTGAAGCTGTTCTGAAAGGGCCATAACGATTGTTGTCTACCATCTCAACGTGAAGCAGACAATAACCAAATTCAGAGATGAGCATAGTCCTAGATCACAAGTAGACAAAGTTGGAATTTCTCAGCCAATGAGTTTGAACTTTGAAAAAGGGCTGAATTTTACAATCTCTTGTTTAATTTCGGCCTTTGTTGTGTTATACGCCTCAAAAGTCTATAGTTTAACTTCGAATCAGTTTATTCGTATTATAGTTACTTAATGTTTCAGTTTTCAGTCTGTTTAATTACAGGAAGTTGTGTTCCTATAACTTAGTAGTTATATATATCCATTTTCGTTGTTGGTTGGTTGTTTATTGTCACTGACTTATAAAGATGATATATATAAGGCCACACTTGAATCTTTTTGTCGCATTTCACTGTGAAAAGCATGTTTATCAAAGGGAATCGCTATGGAATTTATTTGCCAACTTCCATTTGAAGAAGGATTGCTGTGTGAAAACTGCAAGAGACAACAGAAATAATTTCACAGCATACGCGCAAACCTAACTCCTGAAGTGTAAAATCACAGCAGCAAACCTCTGGCGAACTATCTGTGCAATGGATTCTGTATTACAACTAAATTTAGTAAAGAGAAGCCATTGCCACTCTCAGTGGAGCTCTAAAGCCCCAGGACTGCAAGTGTCTTCGACTACAGTAGAAGAGCGACTACTGCTCAGACACCGATGACGTGACTAGCGTCACCGACAAGACAATGCACGTTCCTGATACACGAAGAAGAGGCGTACCGGGGGCCGAAAACCCGCAGCTAAAGACGCCCAAGGACCTGTAGATCACGCCCCATCCACTCCGGTGGATGGTGGGCAAACACAATCGACTACGGTCAACGAGGAGAACGCCATTGAATGGCGTAATTTAGTCTCGCGCAGAAAGGGATAAATAAATAAATAAATTTATTCTCATGATACAGTACATGAGGGACGCCAGTTTACAGGCATCATCAAATTGTTACAGAAATAGAACCATATTATTCAGTCACAATTTACAGTCGATAGCAGAATATGTTTAACATGTAAACTGGAGATTATACATACACTTGATAAATGTTAATCCCAATAGTATAAAACATCCTTTTCACTTATGTACAATCGTTTCTGTGCATAGTTGGAAAAATCCGCTAGATTGTCAGTGAGTGCAACACATCAGGAAATACAGAAGTATTGTCTTCGCATTAACAAAAAAACCAGGTCATTGGTGAATGGGTTATAAGTGCCTGGGAAAAAAATAAAGCTTGAAGTCAGTTTTCATACATAATTTTGTTGTGTGCAGAATCCTTGAGTTATAGTTCATTGATGTGTTATTATGAAATCAGTGATGTGTTTATCTCATTTGATCCGCAATGTCATTGTTGGGAGTAAAGTACATAAGCTGTAGACGGATTAATTAATGGATTTCTACTGCTTGTGGGTATTTACTTCTCGTGAGGAAGGTTTTTGAATTTTAGTTGTTACGGCAGGAGTTGTGGATATTGACTGCTCAGCAACATTACGGATATAAGTTCATCACATTATCTCAGGAATGTTGGGTTGTAGTTGGTGGGGCACATATGATGTCCGACGAGCGTACATCTGTCCATGTGATGTTGTGGTGAGTTATATCTTTTTCATGTTGTCGGTTTATGTCCATTTTATTCCACTTATTGTGTTGGGTAGAAGTTTTACAAACGAAACTTCTTGTCTGTTTGAGGGTAAGTATCTTAATCGTTAATGTTTTATCTAAAATTATAAATATAGGCAAAAACAACAGGTGTAGTATTTGAGCTTATACATTAAATGGACCTATAATTTCGGAGGCTCTCAGATAGGAACTAGGACTACTGTCGTTTGCAAACTCGTGTAGTTTGTCGTTAAGCACTTTTTTGAATGAGGCCAATGTACCTGCTTGACGCATTTCCATTGGTAGTTTATTCCATATCTGTGCATACCTAATCAAATAAAACTTTTGCCTGGTAGCTGTTTTACATTGTTCGATAGCTACTGTACCCTTAGTGTGTCTTAGTTTGTAGACACTGTCATCTGAAAGTCGAATGCCATTAGTAGAGGTAAAAACTAAGTGGTTTAGAAGCTTATAGTAAAGTGTTAAGTTTAGTCTCAGGCGTCTTAGCCATAGTGTTTCTAATCCTAGGGTGTCACATCTAGTGGAGTAGTTCGCACCATTTTCGGTTCCGAGTAATTTTGACGTGAAGTACCTCTGCACTCCCTCGACTTTCAATTTGTCCTCTATGCGTATACTAGTATACATGAATGAACAGTAATCAAATAAAGGACGCACACAAACCTTGTACAACAGAATTCTGGACTCATTTCTGTAAAAGTTCTTGAGTAGAAAGCCGATAAGTCTGCGTGACTTTGACACTTGTTTGGAGATATGTTCAGAAAATGATAAGTCATGTGAGTATTTCAGTCCTAGGTCCAATACAGATTCCAGTCGTAAGAGTGCATGGCCTTGAATTGTCAGGTCAAGTTCTAAATTGTTGCAACCTATGCAGAGCCAGCCACATTTGTCGACATTAAACTGGAGTTGCCAGGTGTCACACCATCTGTCCATTTTTTCTAATTCTTGCTGTATGGCGTTTACTGTTATTCCGAGATCTGTGTTCTTGCATTTATAGGTCACTTTTAAGTCATCCGCATATAGTATTGGTTTACCAACACTATAGCATTCACAGATACTGTTTAAATATATTATGAATAGGAGTGGGCCTAATACACTTCCCTGGATTACACCACTACTTACAGGTTTTGGCCTTGACATTATCGAGCCAACTTTTGTTATCTGACTTCGGCCACAGAGAAATGATTTTATCCAGCTCAGGAGAGGGTCACATATCCCTAGTGAGCATAACCTGATGACTAGCAGATTATGGGGGACTCTATCAAAGGCTTTTGTTATATCGAAATATAGCACAATTACTAGTTCTCTGTTGTCTCTGCTTCGTGTAACTTCATTGAAAAAGTCTATGTGACAGGTCGCACATGATCTCTTTTTGAGGAATCCGTGTTGTGATAGATTGACAAGTTCATGTTCTAGTAAGTTGTCTGACACTTGGTCTTTAACCACTTTCTCCATTATTCGTGATATTACCGGTGTTATATTAATAGGTCTATAGTTGCATGCACTGGTTTTGGCCCCTGCTTTGTGCTTAGGTAGTATGTATGTGGTTTTCCACACTTCAGGATAAGTTCCAGTTTCCAGTGACAGAGTAAATATTCTAAGTAACAAGACTACCATTTCCGTGCTACCATTTTTGTATATGACAGATGGTATGTCGTCTGTTCCAGTACTGCCATTTGACTTCAATGTCTTAATCGCTGAGTCTATATTTTGTATATTAAAATCTATTTCTCCTCATTTGTGGTTACTTTTGCAGGTCATTTGGAAATTTGGGGTCGGGTGCACTCTGGTGTCATTGCAAAACCACTCACTGAGGAGTTCACTTATAGCCTGAGGATCGTTGTGTATTACACCCTTATGTTCCAAGATGCCACCTAAAATGACACCTTTTAGGTGGCCAAGATGCCTGTTCCAAGAACTGTCCGGCCATCAGGTTAGATGAGTCAGGCCAAAGACTCAGCGGGCAGTGTGGTAAAAGCTGGGGTTTAACAAGGGATACACCTAATTACCGTGAGAGTTATTTCTAGTCGTCACCATCTAGAGGAGAGCTCGAAGTCGTTCAGCTAGCCAAAATAGTCAATTTCCCAGGCTTTCAAGAGTGCGAGGAGTCCTCCGAAGAAGCCACTAGAAGATTCCTCCTAAGTTTCCACATAAATATGTTTAAGCATGGAAAATGAAATCTATGTGAAAAATGCACCATTTTTACAGGCTCAAATTGCAGCGTTACGGCAATACCTCAATGAACGGCAGTAGAAGCATTCCTGGCGCGCCATATCAAGAAATGATGCAGAAAAGGTGGGGACTACGTAACTCTGGAACGACCTGTTGGTACATGGAGTTCTCTCATTCTTTGCAGCCACTGTCAAAACCCTTCTCAAAGTGGCGGCCGATGTGGTAATTTGAAAACTAGTCCACATGAGGCCTCACTAACCTACTTTTCCATCAAGGTAACTACCCAAATTGTTCACCAACAAAGTGTAATCATAGGAGGCAGTCGTAAAGCTTGAACGTTTCCTTGAAGTCGCGGTGGCGAAGAAACCCAGTCAGCGAGCAGGGGGAGTATTCATCATTCATTATCGTTCAATGGGTATAGACAGACATTTAACCTCAAAGAAGATATGGTTTACGCTTGGCTGCTTGTCTTGTGTTTCTGAACTTCTTCTTCACTAACTACTTCAGAGTGCCCATAAGGTTCTGTGTTGAACTGATCTTATATCCGCTTTGCTCTAGAGATGACTTCTCTTAGAATATCGGTTCGCTTCACTTATCTCAGAGGGTTAGTACTACGGCTTTCCACTGAGCTAATTCATTCGTGATTGGGGAGTTTAGCCATGAGCTTGAGTAGGTTTATGGAGTCAGATGACGGAGTCTCCACGGAATAAAGATACCGAAGGTAATACTGCCGTTCGCCGAAGTATGATACTTCCATCACCCATATTTAGGTTCTACACTATACTTGTAGTCAATTCTTTCATACAACAATAAAATGTGTCTTATAATAATAAATTCCCACTTAATGAACATGAGGGACTCCAGATGACAGGCACCATGAATATGTTAATAATGTGTACATGTAGTAAGCATGTTTAAAACTTTTCACTGACACAAGATATGTATATACACAAGGAAATGTAATGGAGTAATGACAGTA